CTATGAACGTAGAATCACTACGAAAGAGCAAAAACCTGATACAGAGAAATAACTGAGCATGACAGATAGGAAGGATTTTTAAAAATATTCTGCTGTTTTTGATTTTTTTCCATCTGCCTCTCTCTTTATCTTCCTCAATCTCTGTCCAGTCTTTCACAGCGCTGTAAAACTCCCCCATGAGTTGTAGAAAGTGATACGCCATCATGTCCCCCTGATTCGATGGAAGTGCTGTGTGCTGGAAATGGAGCAGTAAATAAATGGAGATAGTACAGCGCTTGTGTAGAAGGAGGAAGAAACGTGTTGTAGGCAGACTGGATCGATGAACATCACTTTTTGACATGCCCGGCCGAGGGCTTGGGGTGTTTGTGGATTTGTGTGTGTGTACGGTGGTGTTTACAGAGGTGTGTATCCAGTTCTGCACAAATGCAGCCAACTGTCCCGGAGGAAGGCAGATGGCTGAGAGAATTGAGTTAGTGAGGTGTTCGTCTGAGTTTGTGAGTCTGTGAGAAGAGTCTTCATTATGTTCACATGCGTGTATGAATGTGTATGTCCCTTCCTCACCCATCAGTTAATCCATTATCATTTACCGGCCTGTCACACCGCTACACCTTGGCTTTAATTGCAGCCAATAGTGAAGCTACTTGAACCAAATGAATGCTTTAGCTCTGCACTGAGCACTCAATCACTTCAACCTAACTTTGTTTCTAACCCAGTTTTCACACACTGCAGCGCCACAAAGCCCCTTCTCTTCAGTTCCCGGGCACTAATTGAGCTTCGCCTCAATTGCTGGAGTTGTCACTGTCGTCTTCTGCTTTGAAAAGTAACCTGCTGCTCCTCCCCTCTCACCTCATTTAGCGATGAGCACAGATCTCCCGAGCATTTTGTGCACACGTTACAGACTGTGCACATTTGTATTTGTGTGTGTGTGTGTGTGTGTGTGTGTGTGTGTGTGTGAGAGAGAGAGATAGAGACACGAAGCTGGGAGTCTATGCGTGTGTTTGTCCTTCAGCACAGGTTATGAAGCAGAGCTCAGCAGGAGTCCTGTAAGGGGGCCACGGTTGTGTGTGATTTTCTGCCACGCCGACACGCAAGCGGGGGAAATAGACACGCTGGGATCAGCTCACTGGAAGTTGACACACGTTAGTTACAATATAATGTATTCATTTACAGATCTTCTTCTATTTTTGTATCGTTGGCTCGGTGTGTGTATGTGTGTTTGTGTGTTAGGTGGTTGGAGGTCATTGGCTGCTTTGTCTAGATATGCAATGGTGGAACATAAGGTATTCGTCATTTTGAGGTAATCTTGCACTTTTTACTACACTGCCTTTATCAGCTAAAGTTACTGTGCAGATCAATATTGCTCATACACAACATATACATGAGCAATTTTTATAGGTTATACTGCACAACATTATGTAATATGAATAGAATAAACTACACTTAAATCAATTGAAACATTAAAATTCTGCTTACGGCAATATTAACGTATATAATACAGTAATATATGGAATATGTATATAGTTCTTATTATGCAGGGGTCATTTTACTTGCAACAAGTACTTTTGATACTTTAAACTTGCAATAACAATTTGTTTGGCTACTTTAGAGAATAATTAACTTTAAAGTTGACAGTTTACAAATCCAGCAGATACAGAGCAACATTAGAGTTCATTTGGAGACTTCTTTATGTCCACCTGATGAATGTAAGTCCAATATTAACACCAACTCCTAAGGGAAATATCAGGCTCTTAAGCTGTTAACTAGTTGCTATCTTTGTCTGTCTATTGTTTGGTGCCATGCAGATGCACACAGTGGGTTTATCAGAGCCAGAGCTTTTTTATTGAAAACAGCACAACAACACTAATGAGAGCGGTGAGAGTGAACCAAAACAGTGAAGTTACAGACCGGAAAACCAAAACGTTGAGCTGGAAGAAGCTAAGCTAAAGCTCAAAGCTCCGTAAAGTTGAGGGGAACTGCAGACTGGGGTGAGTTTGTCAGTACGAGGCGACCCCTTTCACATATATGTAGTCATTTGATCCATTGTTTTTATGAAAATAATGATTATAGTTTCTTTATATATATTTTGCTAATATCCAACATTTTCAGTACACAATTTTTTCATTGATGTATGCCTACTTTAACTTAAGAATCTGTGTACGTTTTCCACCACTGGTGCCAGAGCCACTAGCTGTGCACCCAATTGATGCTCGAAAAGAGAGGATACTCAGTGTTCTGTGCTAACTAAAAAAGAACTGCACTTGCATACGCTCCGCACTGTACCACTGGATACCTCCGTATTTAAGTAATCTCATCATGTTTGCAGTCTGTCACAAAATATAGGGCTTTGGGTTGCCCTGAGCAGAGCCTAGGTCACATCACAGTGACAACTCATCTCCCCCTCTGAATTGTAATTCTGCCTAACAAACTGACAACTAGCAGGCCAAAAGGCTAGCAAGAGATGACTGATGACAACAAGAACAACACTAAAGTATACGGCTGCCAACAGAGCTCGACCGGGCTAGTGCTATTCGAAGAGACCTAAGGCACTTGGTGCTGACATTAAGCCCCTGCTAAGGACGCAGAGTGAAAGCTCTGGCAGAGATATTCTCTGGCTCAACAGCAAGAAATTCCACTAAGGATAAAGGAATTAGTTTACAGGCCCAGTGAATTTCCCTCCACTCTCATCCTCCTTTGTTGAGCAGTACATATCTGTTTTTTGTCCTGAGTCCTTCATTTGTAAAACACCAATTTCATAAGTCGCATCAGTTGGTTGCCAAACCAAGACCACAGGAATTACAAGACGGATGTGGATTTGCACATTATATTACAAAAATGCTATCATAAGAGGCACAGTCTTAGAGTGCTAGTGAACTGGCAACAAAGGTTCAACATGGCTGACATTTTGTGCAGGGAAAATCTGCCACAGAGATGAAGTGTCTGTCAACAGGACTATCGCAAGATGGTCTCCAGTTTGCTGAGTGTGCACCCAGTAGGGCCAGAAATATGACGAGCATGCAGAATGTTGCTGAGTGTCTGGTTTGCAGACTCTCCCCTCTTGCGTAGCCCCGAGAAAACCTATTGATGCGATTCATGCTTTAGCACGTGTTTACAACCAAGGTCTTGTGCATGACAACTCCTGCTTCTGCTGCTTCTTTGAAAGTAAGTTCAAAATTCTGAAGCAGCACCCACAGTAACATCCTCCCAGCCTGGCAGTTCCTCCCACACACATTCTGGAGCAGGCCTGGCAAGATCTTGGTGAGGGGAAATTCCGCAGGGATGAAAACCCTGCTTTTTGAGTGTTAACAACTATGTAGCTGTGTCTGAATCTGGCAATCTCAGAGAGTGCCCAGGCTTCCGCTCACTGCAAATTATGGGTGTGAGATGTGGATTTAGACGCACAAATGTCAGTTTGTTGGTTTCCATTGTACCTCACAAGCACACAAATGACACTCTTCCCTCTGTGACTGTTTTCTTTTCTTCTACTGAAAAAAGTAAGTCAATAAAAAAAGAAGACGTTACCTTAAGATGCCCTCTAAAGGCTTTTGATTCATACTTTTATACTTGGACTCAAATCCCACTCATATTACAAAAAGATTCTCTTTGTCTACGTCTCAAAAAATGTACTGAGGGCCTTGTCAGCCCTTGCGCATCAATCAAATAGGGTTACCATATATCCCTGCCCACATAATACAGGGGTTTTCAAAAAGAACCTTGGAAATACTGGCCTCAGAAGACATGGGAAGAAACAGTGGGTTATATTTTCTTTAATTTGAGCCTGGAGGGATAGAAGGATTTGAAATTGCTTGTGTGTGTATTATATTGGATAGGAAGGAAGCTGCTGGTGAAATGGTATTTCTGTTAAAGAAGATTTTAGCCACCAGTTTCAAAGCATCAGCTAACTTGTGATCCGGACTTCAGAAGTCTGTTAAAGCCTCAGTGACTAATAGCAGAACGAGCCCCCCATTGAAGCACTGTGGCTTTCTTTTCATACCTTTCTCTAAAGACATTAACTTTCTACTTTTGCCACAGATAAATGGACTGTCACTGTGACAACAAAACATGGATTTTACATAAATTTTGAAGCTGAGTGCTTCATTGTTGCATTTTTTACATGACTACTTCTTAAAATTGATGTAAAATAAAAACCTGAACTTGTATGTAGGCACCACAATATAAATCAAAATAGTAACGAATTGTTTTGCTCAAGCCATCACAATCTGTCTTCCCTTACTCGGGTGTGATGTATCCCGCCATAAAAAATGTATGACTCCCTCCAGTGATGCGAACAGCTCAAAATGACCTTGACAGGAGAATCATCCTCACTCTAAAATATCTACCTTTTTAATTGAATTGTTTTGTGTCTTGTTGAACTCTTGTAAAGCACTTAGTGACGAACCTGTTTGTGCGAAATAAGAAAAACCCCGGATGAATAAATTTGATTTGATGTGATTCGATGCCTCTGTCTCTCCCTGTGCCTGCACTGTCTAATAGCTGATAATGTAATTACGTTTCCATCAGAGGGAGGCCTAATGATTGACTGTGGTGGAATGTGTTATGTGCTAGTGAGATAAACCTCCCTCTCGAACGCTCTGGGTTTGATCAGGGCTGTCGGATCAATAATTTCTCCTTCTTGTTCTCCTCATTTATAATACTGAAGTATATTCAATCATAATGCTTTAGTATTACTAAGATATTACCAGCATTTCTTAATAAAAGTGTTGCAGGCGATTGTGAAACCAGCTTGGATTTTCATGTGTGCTGTTGAATTGTTACCAAGGTTGTCCACTGTTACCTCAGGTATTGTGCATTACGGTAAACCCAAGCTTCTTCCCTGTTTCCCCTTGCCAAAGAAATTTCCCTATGGTCTGAGATCAACCTCAGCACTGTACTGCCGGTACCTTCACACAGACTAATTGGCCTGCCTGTCTTGCCAGAGAGTCTAACCAGTGTGTGTGTGTGTGTGTGTGTGTGTGTGTGTGTTTCTCTGTATTTCCCTGCAGGCTTTGAGCTGCTGTATCAGCCGGAAGTAGTGAGGCTCTACCTGTCTCTGCTGACGGAGAGCCAGAACTACAACACCCTGGAGGCCGCTGCTGGAGCCCTGCAAAACCTCAGCGCTGGACAATGGACCGTGAGTCCAGGGTTGGGGAGGGTACAACACGCACACACTGTGCTCTGTCTGACTTTTTTTTACTTCTATATTGCTTTGTTGCAACTTCTGTCCTCATCATTGACCTTCCAGTAGCAGATATCTTGGATTGGAGTAAAAATACACACTGATGGCTTAAAAGGAAACAAGACCTGCCTCCAGAGGTGCTTAGATTTACTTTAACAACATGCAATGTCTGCAAACCGTATAGCAACTGTGTAAGCTGAAATAAATGTTTAGACACAATTAAGGCAGCAGGTAGCTCAGACACAGTCTTTTCATTGCTAGTTCTTTCTTTGTCTTTCTCAACCTTCCCTCTTATTGTGATTACAGAGTTATATAACTAATGAACATCAAACTTTCATCCCTATGCCTCTGATGATGGATAATGTGAGAACCTCTACAGCCAGGACCAGACATTTATTCCAATTAGAGCGTCTGTGGAGCTGCTGAGAGGCTGTCTGGCTTGCAGGCAGCAGTGAATTATCAACAGGGACGGCTAGTTGTCAGATGCCAGTTTACGCGCAGCACCCCGGGCAAGAGCGGTCACTTATGTTTTTCAGCAGTCTGGCTTTATTCAGCCCAAAGCAGCATTATCACGGCAGTGCTTCTCTTAACACCCATGTGTCAGACTGTAAACACATCCGTCAGTCCCCTGAATTCATCAGCAGCTCAGAGCCTTTCTACCTCGATTGAACTACACCTGAACTCTTTGGATTTTAGTAGTTTCATGAGTTAACATCCAACCCTGAGTCTCACACTTTGTGTTAATAATTCAGTAGTAGTGATTTTCAGCTAACATTTTGAGGAGATATCCTCCTTTACCTTCTACATATTTTTTTCATGTTGAAGCTGATAAGAATGCTCAGGAACCTATGGAGCAGCTAACCCATCAGGATTTAACATTTGGTGGCTGGACAAAGCATGTCCCTGCTCCTATGAGAGGATATGAGGGCTTCTTCTTGAAATCCTCCTCCTTCTGTGCTACTGCTTAGCTCTGTTCCACTGAATTGACCTGCTTTTAAAGGCTTACTATTGCCATCTGGTGGCTATGCTGTGCCTTATGAAGTGTCTTCTGCTTAATTACATCTCTTGGGGTACAAGTGCTTAGAAGAGAAGCCCTTTTATGTCAAGCTTAATGTTTCATGTTACAAAAAAATGAGAAGTAAAATCTACTGATGTTTGAATTAAGACAAATTATATCACATGTCCATTCAGTGCCCCACTGTGTAATGTTGTGAATTAGTCAAGCCCAAGGAGCAGTGCTGAGCTGCCTTGTAGTTAGTGATTGAATGATGTGTCTGTGTGTGTGTGTGTGTGTGTGTGTGTGTGTGTGTGTGTGTGTGTGTGTGTGTGTGTGTGTGTGTGTGTGTGTGTGTGTGTGTGTGTGTGTGTGTGTGTGTGTATGGGTTGTGTGTTTGTGTGTGAGTATGAAGGCATATATCAGAAATGTCCTCCCCTCTCTCAACTGGTGTCACGGAGGTGACCTGGACTCCTCCAGTGGAGCTTTTCCAGTGGTCAAAAGTAAAGCTGTGTGGTAATGTTGGGCAACTCCTTGGTGGGAATCTGTAGGTCTGCATGAATGTCAAACAGGATGCTGCTGACAGTGTGTGTTCACTCAGCCTACCCTAGAGGTTAAAGGTTGTAATGTGAAAAAAGTGGTCATGCGGTGCCCTCTGTCTGCCCTCCAGTGGTCCAACTACATCCGAGCCACCGTGCGCAAGGAGAAAGGTCTTCCCATCCTGGTGGAGCTGCTGCGCTCCGACTCTGACAAGGTGGTCCGAGCCGTGGCCATCGCCCTGCGCAACCTGTCCATCGACCGCCGCAACAAGGACCTTATTGGTACAAAAGCTTAGCAAAACAACACAAACTGATTTAAGATTTTATCAGAAATAGTTAAATACTCATATGTACACTGAAAGTGTTACTGGTGGCTGTAATTATTCCCCCTGTCCATACCAGCTTTGAAGAGATTTCTTCATAATGAGATTCTGTTGTAAGAAATGGGAACAAATTATACAGTTGTCAGACTACTGAAGAGTCATATTAGCTTCAGCTAAACTTTACAATGTATTTTTTACATGAAAGAAGGACTGTAAAAACAGCTAATAAAATGAGTGTAACATTAACTGTTTCCAAAGCAATTTTATTGAATCAAGTCAAGATAGTAGAAGAAACTGAGTCACAAGATTCAGTACTGTACTACATGACTTTCTAAGGCATTTTCAATAATATACCTAGCAGCAAATTTTTTGATTGAATTTGATGACATTACATATTAAATCTTATTATTACAGCCCTATCACCTTGTTAACCTTTAAAAATCATTCTCCTTACAGGAAGCTATGCCATGCGGGACTTGGTGAGCAACCTGCCAAGCGGCCAGCAGCGGCCAGCCAAAAACCTGGAGGAGGACACTGTGGTCGCCATCCTCAACACCATCCACGAGATTGTCACTGACAGCTCTGAAAACGCTCGCTCCCTCATCCAGGCCCAGGCTATTGAGAAACTGGTTGCCATCAACAGGACCAGGTAAGACTTTATATACACATATTGCACCATGAACTGTCACTTTGCAACATGTGAAGAGTAACTATTTCTACGTTGAGTCATCCAAACCAGCAGCCTGTCTTATTTGGAATGATTTATGGTTGAAGGTCGAAATTTGCAGAGGACTTTATGTAGTAATTAGGCTACTTTTTATACATATGCAGCCCCAAATATACACTCAACACTGACAGGGCTGTTGCCAAGCTGCCTGATGAATACTTAGTTTTCTTGTGTGTTTTTATCATCAGTCTCATACTGTAGGTCAAAAAGATTGTACTGCAGACAGACCAAACACAACCCATATCTATGTAAACCATGCCTGAAGTGTGGGTATACCATAGAGACATTATACATGTAATAATTACAGTATGACCTTGAATGCAATTTGCATCATGAACCGTTCTATTAGTATTCATGGAGGATAATGTAATGTGTCTCTAATGGCCCAAGCTTGGCTACCACAATACTATACTCTAACGAGCCCGAGCCCACACACTCCACCAACCACCACACATTCATTAACAGGCTTTTAGATCTGCAGGGCATTGTTATAGGAGGGTTGCTTCTAAAGCTGCTGCATGTACAAATAAGTGAGTAGTCGTACCTTTAATGCTGGAGTTCTCCTAATAGATATTAATGTAGATATTCAACAGGTGTCTTTATATTACCACAATGTTAACCATTCCAAAACGAAGTGCGTCTGCGCCACACTTTTAATTTAAGATCAATAGCACTTTTCAAAGGCTCGTCCTTGTGTGGTGAAGTATTGATCACACGGAGAGTCCCGCTAACTAGCATGAATATACATAGTTCATTCACAGACCAAATAGCTGCGTTTCCTCTCAGCCTCATGAGATTGGCTTTCTTTGAAGTGAGCCCCCCACCCACATGTAATTAATACTGGTGGCTCAGAGGTAGCTAATGAAAGGAAATGTGCACTCATCTGGCTATGAATTAAAAACTAGACCCTGGAGCCACTCAGGGGACTCAGCGTCTTTGAATAAAGAGATTGATTGCCGCAGCGGCTTGCTAGCCTACCCAGTCATCACTGTTTGGGAAGTTAGATGAGGTTTCTGACTTTAATTGCTGTAGTTATTTCTTCATGTATTTCCTCCTTTTCGTGCCCCCTTTCAGCCAATCAGCTCGCGAAACGAAGGCGGCGTCCCACGTGCTGCAGACTGTCTGGAGTTATAAGGAGCTGAGAAACGCTTTGACCAAGGACGGCTGGAACAAGAGCCATTTCCAGGTACAGAACTGTAATGGGGGAAGTTATCCTTCACACAATCTGAATCATTTAATGTCAATGTAATGTCATGTTAGAAAATATATTATTTAAACATTTAGAGACCCAACATTTATAGAAGAACAAAAAGTATTAATAGCATCTTTAGCCACTGTAAAATAATTCGAGCTTATAGTAATAAATTCAGTGTGTGTGTGTGTGTGTGTGTGTGTGTGTGTGAACCATATTATTATTATTATTATGAGTTTAAAACATAAAGGCATAACTAACCGACACACAAAGTCTTCATATCCTGTTGCTAATCACAGTTGATGTTAGATGTCAACTTCAAAATATTTTTCTGTCAACCTGCATAAAGAGTCATTCTCTTTCAATCCTAACCTGGCACTGAGAGAGAAAATGAATTCCCTGTTTTCTGCATGTTCCTGTTTGAGGTGCATGATGCTGTGTTCACATGTGGCTTGCTCTGCTTCTTCTCTCAGCCCACGGTGACAGCCACCCCTAAAGCAACCAAGAATGGCAAGCCAGGCTACGACGACACCACCCTACCCCTGATGGAGAAGAACCAAGGTCAGTTAAAGTGTGTGTGTGTGTGTGTGTGTGTGTGTGTGTGTGTGTGTGTGTGTGTGTGTTTGTGACTATTGCGGTTTTCGCCTGTTTAGAGGACCAAGGGGGTGGGATAAGGTAGAGAAGATCCCAGGGGTCCTCAGCAAAATAACAATTAAATGTCACCTTTATTTAATTCACAAGAGTCTGAAGACCGCATGGGGTCCAGTGTGCAATTTATAGGATAAGGTGGTCAATAAAAAACACGAAAAGAACAAAACAGGCTTTCAGCCCCGAGCCCATTGGTTCCTAGTGAAAATGTAAATCTTTAAAAACAGGTCATGAACATTCACCACCATTTGAAATAGAGATTCAGAGATTTCCTAAAATAGTTGGACTTTGTATTTTTTGGCAAATGTTCCTATGAAGTAAATAGTGCATTTTTGGGGGACTATTTTCAGCCATGGATACACAATTGGTGCTCTGTTGAGTATTTTCAGTAGCAGGACAATGTACTATACTGGATTGACTCAAAATAAATACAAAATGTATGTGTTTTTAATAGTTTTTGGACAAAACATTGACCTCTGTTTATTGAAAATAAGTAATAAAAATAAATAAATACCACCAGATTTGCCCTTTAACAAACCCTATGTGAGGCAGTTCAATTACTGTAAATACAAGTCAGGGCATCCCGCCTGTATAGTCCTCAAAGCAGGTTCAAACTAAATACTAACAGAACCTTCTTGAAAACAGTGTGTGATCCTGTGTGTCCACGTTGCTGAGGTCATGTCTGTTTTTTCTCATGGCTATATTGAAGCGCTGTGCTTGCCACATTACTACTCTCATCCTCTGTGTGGTAAAGCTGTGGTGTGTTATATGTTGCAAATAAAGAACATAGAATGGGAGATGGAGCTTTGAGCAGCATACCACTGCTGTTGAACCAAAACTTTCAGCCCTCCAAAAGTTAATTTTGACAAAGTATAAAAAAAAGTCCCTATTTCAGATGCTGAACTCTTTTTTTTTAATCGTGGGTTTTAAATTGACGTAATAGGGTCAGAGATAATGAAATTTCCCCCACCCTTAAATACGTGTGTATAGCTGTATGAGTAAAACTGGGATAGAGGTTTTGTATAACAGCAGCAGTATACATATGAGGGGGATGGCGGGGGACTTGTGCAGTACATTGGCCCAACAACAAACATCTCTTTGACAGAGGAGTCAATAGCGAAGCAGCACTTTAATGTCCTGATTTTTGGCCTAGCGCCTCATTTTTTTTTGTTTTGTTTTGTTTTGTTTTTTTGCATCCATACATGCACATGAATCGCGGCGCTCATGCCTTCCCACTCTCAGTTTGCATTATTCAATCACTGGCCGAGAACCATTACCCTGAAAAGCAGCAGCGTTTTGGCTCAATGACTCAGTTTGTGTGTGTGCCTTTTTTGTACAAATGGCATATGAATGCTTTTCAGGCACCAGGAAATGTGGCAGTGGTGATATGATACCTATGGATGAGCTGGGTCCAGGTAAGAGCCAGACTGCATGACCGTTCTTAGCCAAAGAAGAGCTAGCTCTCCTCTAATCTCCCTCCAGTGTCCAATAGTGTCTTCTCTGATTCGACTTGTCTTCCACTAGTTCTTTAGCCGTTGCCAGGATGTTATATTTAAACTGGAAAATCAAACCATTCAACACTATGATCTCGGCATGATGGCTTTGGACCGAGCTTCAGACATGACGCTCTTTGATGCTGTATGCAAGACCCCTCTCTTAAAAGATGTTTGTACTAAACTGGGCCTTCATTAGGAGCTCAACACCAGAAGGTGTGGGTGGTTCTCCACTTAATAAATACACTCTTAATATATCATAGTGCAGTTTTCATCTGCTGTGCTTCTTTCAAAGTAAATAATCCTGCTGTTGTTCAAAATATAGAAATGCTACTTTGACAAATGTTTGTGAAATCAAGAATTTTGGGACTCTTGGGGGTAATAGATAGAATAAGAGTTTTTTTAGAGGTACTTTTTTACCCTGTTACCCAAAGATACCTTCTTAGGGTATATCATGCTGGTTTTCCCCCATCCTTTGGGCACTATTTATCAGACGTCTAACAAACCCTCCTAGGAATTGTGCTGAAAGTTAAATTAGGACTAAAAACATTCAAGGGAATTCTAACATTGACGTTTAACAAGGAGAGGGAATCCCAGGAGATAATCTGATGTCGCTTCAGAACATTCAGAGCTGTTAAGTAACTATGTAACTAATGATGACGTATTGTAGTTTTCTGGCAGTTGCAGTATGAAATGTTAAACGGTAGTAAAATGCAAAATGCAGAAAATAGCAAGATTTTTTATGTGTAGACTTTATCAGGGCAAAAAGGTATTAATTGATCCCATGGTGATACCAGTAAGCCATTTTACATACTACACTGTAAGTGAATACTGGAAACCACTAGTGCAGTTTAAACAATAAATCTATATGCAATTTAAATGAGAGATTAGCTGTGTAACAAATCATGAACAGCTCTGTCCAATCACATTGTTTTACTGTGCCAATACTAGCGCTACACTTTGCATGTACTGTGCAGCATAGCACACACAGCAATGATATTCCTACACTACACGTCCTGTTAACTTAATGTGACTTTTACAGATGGGGATAAACTATACAGCATGATATCTTTTTAACTCTGCCATTCTCAATTGTCAATTTCTATGAACAAATAGATTAATGAATCACAGATAAATAACCCCACAGATTTGGATGAATGCACTTCACACTGAGTGGTGGAGAAATAAATGAATCTGTGAATGAATCGTTATCTGAGGAGCTGTACGAGTTTGATTTATTACTGCTGAACTTGTTGGTTGTACTCAATCGTTGCTGTTGCAAAGATACATTTTCCCTGTGCCCTGAGGCTGAGAGGTCCGCAGTTTTTGCGGAGAAGACATGTACTTTCTTTTGTATCTCACACGTCAGTCAAAAAAAACAACCAATATTTGCCACAATAATGTCAGTTCCATCAATGAATGTCTCATCTCCCATCTCATCGTCTCTAAAAGCCTTATTTTGGGGAATAGTTAGGGAATCTCCAGAGCTCTCCTAAGTATTTGCTATGATAGGAGTCATTTTCAGGGTTAAGAATGTTGATAAAATGCTTGAACTCCTAATCCTGAGCGAAGGACCAAATACAGTGTTTTGTCACTCTGAGAAGATTCCTTTGTCTGCGCTGTTTGATAAATACTGAGCCTGAGCTGGAATATGTGAGAGTGCATTATGGAGACAGGGTCAAATACCACTTGCAGATACTTCATCTAGTTTGTTTTAAACCTACTGTGGTGGTAAATAATGTGAGTGCCAGGAAGTTTAGACAAGTACAAGCTAAGAATGTGCTGTTTAGTCTACTTTTCTGTGTCCAACAACTTCCCGGCACTCTCAGAAGTGTTCCAGTGCAGAAAGCCTTTCAGTCTCTCACTCCACACAGGTTAAGTCAACACTATAAATGATCTGACACTGTTTTTATTTAATCGAGGATAGCGAGGAATTAACTGACTTTTGTTCTCTGACCTCATTAGATGGTTACTCCACCATTGACCAGAGGGACAAGGACTGCAAATACAAGCCAACAGGCGACGGCTCAGTGGACCTGACAGAACGAGAGCCATTAAAGGTACAAGCAGGTCCTCCTCCGGTCCCGTGGGGGATCAGGGAATAGAGGATGAAATAATGATGTCTCATTGAAATGTTATCAAATGTCCTCTCCCTCTGTGTCTCTCTCTTTCCCTCTCACTTCATGTTTTCTGCGGTGGTCCTCATTAGAAGCTCTTAATCCTATTGATTCTTTAAAGAGGCTGGAAGTTGTCATTGTCTGTTGCCGCAACAGCTCAGTGCTGTGGACAGCCTCAGATCTGCCACCAGTTAATTGAGTGTAAGCTTTTGGCATAATTAATCTGAGACTGATTAAAAGAACTGCCAACAACTGCTCCTCGTGGAGACGACCCTTGCCTTGGCAGTGAACAGACTGCCGCATTATCAAGTGGTCGCCGGCTGATCAGAAAGTCGTTTCACACTGCAACCAAAGTTTGTTTATTGTTGAGCTGATTGGCAATCCAGCCTCAAAGAGAAGTCACAGGATAATAGCCTCAGAGGATGTCTGACATGTGTCAGGCAGTACTTTTTGTAGTTCATATTTGATCTACTTTAGTGCTAGATAGATGTTCCTTGTGGTGTTGTAAAACTTATGCAATCAAGAGTCCATTAAAGTCAGTTTAGCATACAGTATGCTTCTCAATGCAGGATAAAACTAACTCTTAAAAATCTTTCAGTCAGCAGAGCTAATAGTCCAGTTAATAATCTGCAGTGACTATTTATCTGGATTACAATAAAGCATTAATTTGCCATTGGTAGGTAATTACTCATGTGTTTTAAATTGGGTACATTTTTATTTCAATTCATACTGCAAAAAGTGTACAGTTCAGTATCTTAAAGTGAACCTATGTAACTTTTGTCCTCTGTGACCACTACTGACAGTCATGAGCTAATGGTAAATGCTAAGCTGTTGTTGCACCTCAGACCTTTGGCTTGTCAGAAATGGGTTGAGTTGCAGCTTCAGCCACACCCAACAGTGATGTCACAGTGCACCGACTACACCCTGGAGTACATCTCTACATCACAGCATCAAGTTAAGAAGTTAAACCACTGGAGTTCGGTATTAAACACAATTTAACTGATGTCTTTCTACATTGACATCATGTCAGTATAGCTGTAAATTAAGAGGGAATTCAAATGGAATCAAAGATAGCTGATTCAAAAAGCGTACTTTTAAAGAATTATTGCAATTAAAAGAGCTCCCTCTCTTTCTGCAGCTTATGAAAACATGAAACCTGTATTTTTGATATTATTATTACTCGACATGTTATAGGTCAATCAGGGAGATCCTCAGTTTTTACTCTTCAGGGCGTCCATTTGTAAAACCAACATGAAAACCTGCTTCTTAACACAACTTTTTCATTTGTCTAGTTTTTGGTATCACATGATGTCTTATAGCTGTTCAGAGGCTTTTACACCAAAACAAATGCACATTTTTTCCAATTCAAAAATAAAAATAAAGCAGCAATGTATGGCAGCTATGGGCTTCTTCAGTACACAACACTGACCTCAGGTTTCAGTAAATTTAAGATGATGTTTAGGTAAACTACTAAACCAGTTAGTTTTACTGTCGCAACCTTAAAGGGCAGATACTGTAACCAGCCATAGACAGCACAGCAAACAGTTGTGTTTCTCTTTAGAGTGTACAGGCCAGCATTACTCCAAATGTTTTCTAAGTCTGCCGCCTGTTCTTCCCAGAGGTGTTCTACCCGCTTTGAATGCAACTTGGCTGTCAAAACTGCTCTCTCCCTCTTTCAGTTGCATGGTTTGGTTTGCTGTGTTGTAATCACTCTGACTTCTTTCCAAGCTTTCCTTGAGACAGGGAACTAACATTGGCTTCTCTGATCCTGGATGCATGTGTGTGTGTGTGTGTGTGGGTGTTGTGTTCGCGCGCAAGCATATTTGTGAAATGTATTGACCTCTTTTTGTTTTGTTTTTAACCCGTCCTCCTGTGGCCACAGAATGACACAAATAGGAAACACTATATCAGGAGTAACAGGCCTGCGGTCAGTCTGGTGGACGCTTGTGATGTTAAACCCCAGCCTGTTGACTCCTGGGTCTAAATGCATGCATGGTAGGTCTGAAAAATATAAGCACAACAAAAATAACAACCTTCACCTTTTCGGTTGCATTATATCCTTTTCATCCCCTGTCTGTTCAACGTTTCCGCCTGTGTTCCTTTCACCCTCACACTGTAGTACCATGTAGACCTTCTGTCACCCTGCACCCAGAGCAGTCAGCTGGAGAGTCACAAGAAAATTTACATAATTCACTTTCAGCTCAATTTTAAGGTTTAATTTTCTTTCTTTTTTTTTGTAGAATTTCATAAATGTATACATTGTGTCTGAGTTACTCATATTTACAGAGACTTTTATGTTGCACACACTTGCAGATGAGCTCCAAAAAATGTAATTACAAGATAAATTTCAAAAGAAGAAGAGATTTCTAAAATACACTGACAACCCTAACTAGGCACAGAAGGCCTGTCAAGCTTTAGATTTCTCCACTTGTTGATGCAGTTTGCATGGGGTTGTAGTTAGGGTGATTCTTGGCGCTTAAAGGGTTTGTAGTGTTATGTCCTTTTTTCCAAAACCAAAACTGCAAGAGCAAAGGTGTAAGGAACGGTGTGTGTTTACCTGCTAATGAAGCTTCAATCATTAGCATGCCTGTCGAACTAATTTACTACCTACCCCAGTAACTGAGGGTCACTTCCAAAGCCAAGGAGCACATAATTAACTAACGAGTTTGTGGGATTACAGTCTAAAAAGGCCTGGTTCACAACTTGCATGTCAGAGTTAAGAGCTCCGTCCTGCTCTTTGTAACCAGTACTCCAGCTACAAACATATCGTTTGAAAATACTAACTAGTATGTAAGATGAGCAACCAATCGGGATTGTATTAGAATGAAATACAAATTCATTTTCCTGGTCATAATTGTAATACTACAACTAACTAACTCTACAAAGATACAAAAACATTTTTTATTTCCATGTCTTCTACATCAATCATTAACTGGTGAGGGTGCTAACTGTTTCCTGAAACATTCAGCTTTAGTTTCAGGACAATATTATTACTTACTCAGGGTGATCAATGGTGTTGTAAAAGAGACCAACATGACTTTCCTGTCTGTAATACACGTAGAAAGTAGACAGGCTTTGGTGTCTGTTTACAATTCAGCACCACCTGTCTGATTGAAATGTACGCCTAGCTTAACTCACTACTTCCCCTGACAGCCTTTGCTGAAATTGGTCGCAAATGATGAAGGGGAATCATTCTTCTGCACTTCAGATGGCTCCTCCAGGGACTGAGTTATCCTTTAATGAAAAGCAGTAGGGAGAAAGAAACATCACACACACACACACACACATACACACACACACACAGAATCTCTTCTCTGTCTACATTCGCCATACACACCATTTCTTTGGTCAAAGCAAGATGACTTCAGATAAATAATTCATGTAAGTTTATAAGTTGATGATGGAAGCCAAGACATATAATGTGTGCACACACAGATTCAAACATTTTCGACTCACACATAATATGTCCAAGGCAGAGATGTAATGGAGGGTGAGCTCACATAAATTCAGTTTACATATACCTTGAGGTCAGACGTGGTTGATCTGAATATTTTGGGTTAGAAAACATTGTATAAATGATTACTAAGTGGCTTCTTATGTAACTCAGATGATCATATTTCCATGTAAATTACAGAAAGAAAGAAATTCAGCCTCTCTTTGTGGTTGAGAGATTTCCAAAAATGTCTTTTTTAGAATAATCAAATGTATCAGTCTGAGTGAATAGAGCTAATGTCACTAATGTATAATGAAGGCTTTCTGTTGAAACTGTTGGTTTTCTTTCATTAGAAATACTACCCCCCTGTATTACAAGAGGAGCTGAATTTCTTCTTTCTTTTCATTTTTTCATGCAGCTTGGCTGTTTGGCAACAGTTACACAAGTCACAAGGAAATACATCTAAATTAATAATGCCCTTAAACCTGTACATATTTTATTTGCGAAGCTGCAAGCTGATCTCGGTGAGCTTCAGTAGTTGTCACTACTCTGTCAGCAGCATTTATCTCCTCCTGCCTCCTCCTCACCGCTGTTGTCCTCTCCTGTGCCAGAGGCTTCTTGTCAGACCTCACTGTCTTCCTCATCGTCATCATCTTATCCAAGTCATCTTTGTCAGTGGCCATCCACTCAATTCTTTCATCTCCATCCACTGCATTATCACAGGAAATACATCACTCTCGACTCGTATTATTTGTGGTATTCACTGTCATTTTGTAAGTAAAAAGAAATGCTATAGGTAATGTTAACCATAAGGTAGGTCATTTTAATTTAATTTAGCACAAGCAGGATTTCATCCAACACACTGAGCATCTGTTTTGCTCTCTTTTGCCTCCATTTGCCATCTGGACTAACATGATTGAAGCATTTGTTGACAGTGATGTAATTTGTCAAGTACTGCGATGATGCCAACTGATTGTCTTCCTGTCTGACATGAAAGCACAAACGCAGTTTCATTCTAAATTCACACCCATTGACGGCTAAATGTGGTACCCACTCTACAAACATGAAATGTTTAAGGAAAAGGCTTATGAGATTCTACATTTTTCTTATTGTCAACAAATCCCATGAAAAGACCAAAACTAACAATGTGATCCCACTATATACTGATATATCTTATTCCTTTATACCAGTGGTTCTCAACCTGGGGTCCGGGGACTTCCGGGGGTCCTTGAGGGGGTTCTAGGGGGTCCCCCGAAACAAGAACGATAATTGTGTGTTAATCTGCATCTGAAAATAGATGGCAACAAATGCACTATTTATCATTGTTTGAGATATCGTGGGTGATAGCAACATTAAGAGGTGGGGTGTTACATGTAAAAAAGAAAATCATCAATACAAATCTCAAGTGTAGCGTTCCTATAGAGGTGCTGCAGCACTGTACTTCCTGTTTGCATCACATGTTTGCATCACATCCAACACATTCTAACTTTAGAAAGTTGTGTTAGCAAACAGTTGCATATTTGAAGTCTTGTTTTTGGCCACTTAGCGAATGTAAATCCAAGATTCAATCTCCTCTTAGCTCTGTTTTGGTCAACACTAAGTCCTGAGGGAAATATGTGGCTCTTTAGCTGCTAAATGCTCCACTATGTTCACTAGTCATTACGTATACATTTAGTTTTTGTTTGTTGTTTGGTGCTGTGTAGGTGGCGTAAAGTGGGCTAACAGAGCTATTAAAACAGCTGTGCTCCACCAGCTGCATGCTGTGGCTGGACATGAGGTTGATGAGAACAGTGAGAATGAACCAAAAAAGTAAAAAACATAGCAAAACAATGCTAAAATACCCCATAGAGCTGAGAGGAACTGCAGAATCGGGTAATAATACTACAAGTGACCCCTTTCACATTACACATAGTTATTAATATTGATTGGTGCAGCTTTACAGATTTTTAGATCTTCATTATAAACGAATGGACTTGGCGTTGAGTGCCACAGTCACGGTAAGGAAGTCTACGGACTAACTCATTGTTGGTTTTGGTATTTACATTTTTTGTCCATCATTTTATTTTAAGTTGGTAACAAAAAACATAATAATGAATAATGGGGCGTTTGTCCCGTAAATCACTGTATAGTATTTAAGTTATTATTCATTATGATAGATTATTGTCATCATTATCTTGGATATGTAGCTTTTGTTAATTCAGACTGTATGGGTGGCTCTTCTAATATTTTTCTCTCTTCCATGTGCTTCAGGCTTAAAATAACAACAGCGTGACACCCCAGCTAGAAGAGGATCTCTCATATCACCACTGCCATTTCACATGGAGCTCATCTTTGGAGTTGGACTTTGTACAGAAAAGAGGATTTTAAAAAAATAATGATCACAACAGCAACTACCCAGAAGCAGCCAGCATTCTCATGCTTTTCAGAAAAAATTTCAAAAAAAAAGAATAAAAAGTGACTATTCCTACTACTTTCACATATCCACATTCCCACTGGACATCATGTGAATTTTACAGTGTTGACTCTTGTTGAGCTCTACCAGTGACAAGAAACTAAAAGAGGCCGGTGCTGGTGAAGGAATGGACGTATGAAGGGCAGACAAAGCGAAGTAAGGGAAGTGAATGGGAAAGGAACGTGTGTTGGAAGGAAACCTGTAGAAGAAACGGGAAATGGATGTTTTTTCATTTCAGTGTTCACATCTGGAAGAATTTCATGGCTCAATTTTGTGGGTTTTGGAGAATTTTACTTTCAGTTTGTTGTCAAGCTTTGGTATATTGATGTGAACAGGAATGGACTGGCGTGTTTGAAGGTCACTGAATGTTTACAGATTGGTGGCGTGGACATGAGGAAGGAAAAAGAGAGAAACCGAGCCTGAGAAGAGCTGTAGCATAGTGGACAAACATGTACTCCCAGCAGCCTGCTCTCATACACTTACAATCCATTTGGTTCACTGTGTTTTTTCAAAAAAAGAAAAGTGCACTGAGATGCTTTGAAATCAAAAGTGGTTAACAGGTGATTGATGTCCATTTTATAAAGTGAGGAGTGTGCAAGTTGTGGTCTGGAGAAAGGAAAGTGACAGAGTGTGTACATCAGATGGAGCAACAGTTTCTGTTCACACTGCATCGCAAAAGTAATCTAAAATGGAAACAAAACTTTCTGTTTCATCGTGGTCAGCATGTGTGAGCCGAGTGGTATGTTGACCCTCAGTCACAGAGCTGTGGTTACTTGTGTGACCACTCAGGTTGTGTGGCGACGCAGTTTCACAAGTTCCCTGGCTGGTTGCTCTTTGTCAGTGATGTGTATTAAAGAGGATATAAGGCATTCTGTTTATAAATGATTTGTGTTTTTGGAAAGAGAGACAGAAGTTTGTTCTCTTGTTGAAAGGATAGATCTAAAAGCATTTTTTTTTATTTTTGTTGGGTTTTATATAAATGTATATTAGGGTCAAAAGAAAAAAAAAGAAAAATGAAGGAAAAAAACAACAAAAATTACCGACTTCTTAGTTGTATATTAATATCACATTGTTTGGAAAGCACATCTCATTTGATAAAGGCTCACCATGTTTGTAAACAAGAAATAACCACGTAACTTAAATGTGTGTCAAATATTGTCGAGTTACGCCGACGATCACCTATTTATATTTTGTATTTGTCAAAAAAAAGTTACAGAAAAAAGTTTATCTGCAGTGTTCTTTCTAAAGGCGATGAATTACGTGTTGTCTGACAGCACCTGCATCATCGAAATAGACACTCTGGAGGGGGCCAAGAGGTCAGACAAAGGATAGACAAGAGATGGCAGTGTCAATAAAAGTCCCTTCATTTTTCTTCCCGATGCATTCAGACCAAGTTACCGCCAACCCTGAACCCTCCTTCACCGGCGCATCTTAAAGAGAAACATTCAGTTGTGAGCATGAAGAAAAAGTGTACAGATGTTTATATTCTATTCTTTCCAAGTGCCAGTTTTTTGTGGTGTCATTTGGATATTAACTAATTCATTCATGTGCAGGATGAGAATACAAATGGACGAGGTTCTGGATGTTCAAGACAAAATAAAAGAGTTGCATCACACTGTACAAAACAAAACATCAAATTTGGTCATATAGTATATATTTTTACAACGTTTTAGGGTGGGCGGTTGTGATGTAGAAAAGCAAAGAGACACAGAATCATATGGCCATTTTTCGCTTGCTTGGTGAGACTGCGCACACAATCTAGTGATAATGTGTACAGTCTCCTCTCCAGTCTCCCGATTCCCTGTGGACAGGAGACAGAATCCAATCCGAGTTGGTATCACTCATGCGTCATCAAGGCGAACGGCATGTGCCTGCATTGAAGTCTGATTTTTCTTTGTGACGTATGTGACTTTATAAAGCTTGCCTATTTTACACAGTGTTTACAAAGATGTACGTTGTGGTAAAAATCAATAAACTACAAAAAAACATACTGTATAAATTTTAATTTCAGAGGTTAAAAAAAAGTTATAATAATACCCAGCATCCCTTTTGTGTGTCCTCAGAAGTGTGTGCTTTCATTGGACAATACTGAACCCTTGCAACAAAGACCCATATGACTGTCTATTCCTGACTGCACTTTGCAGTGCCACAACCAAAGGATCTGGAGTTGTATTTACATGCATTCATAAAAGAGGTCACTGGTTTTGTGGATGTGCGGTGTACATTTACGAAACAAAGAGCCAAGCAACTGTGCTGTAAAATCAATGCAGGACACGGACACACATCAAATCAAACAAACCTACCTGTGTAGATATAACTGATTCAAGACCGTCAAAATAAAGTAACTGTAACACTCAGTAGCAGATGTGTTTGTACCTATCATGTGCCTTAACCTTTTCCATGGTAGATAAAGATAAGTGTTTTATATAACTTTATTCCTCCCCCTATCAACTGTCATCTCTCCATCCTGTCTGTTCACCTCTCCCCTGTTTTCCTCCTGTGTCCCCCTCCCTCCCTTTTTCCTCCACTCCACTCACTCATTCATTCATCCTGCACCCCCATCCCACCCCACTGTCCCCACAACCCCGAGTAGTTTAGACTGTTGGTGGGTTTCTGCCTTGTATTACGTTGTATTATAAACTTTTAAAAAGATAGTCATTTGGAAAATGGTTTTGATTTCCTAGAGGAGTAAAGTTGTTAATGCTTTCGTAGCGAGCAGAAGCGATGCCACAGTGACAGAATGTATTATGTTAATTTTACTAATACCCTACCCAGAGGCAAATATTACGCTTGTTAAACATAACGGAAAAATACTGGTTTGTAGAGTATAAGTTTGGTGTGTTTTCAATAAATCATGCCTGGAAAGAAGGTGCTCGACTCTGTGTCTTGTTTTACATTATGTTATTCATTTCCAGTAAGACTCAAGGTCTAATGTTATGATAGCAGCCCCTAGAGGCTACAATGCTCAATTACAATCCATGGAACTACTGTAATAGTAAATAGTCCTTATAAAAACATTTGACTGTGTATTATAAAAGGAAATCGGGAGGACACTGTTTCTGGAAAAAGATGTTGCTGTTGAATTTTTACATTACATTTTTTAATACTCTAATACGAGCACAAATTAAATTCAGTTCACCTCCATTGTACTGGGATGGAAGCAGACATCTGCCTCAGCACCTGTATAAAGTACAAAGCTATCTGCGTGGCTGTACACCAAAGAGGTAAGTGAGAAAGTCTTCAGACTTTAAGTAAACATACCCTTTAAAGTGTTCAATATAGATTTATACATAATAAATGCAGTCTATGTTGTTGAGAGCTATTTTCCTCAATCATTTTATGCTTTTGCTTTTGGTCTGTCACACTGTAGATCAAGTCATCTACTTATATCATATATCACGTAGTATGAGGCAATGTCATAATAAGACAAGAGTGCCAGTAATCCAGATGACCATGGTTCAATTCTCACTGTGAAAGCATTAGCCCCTACTGAATTATCCTGGAATAAGCCACTGAATTCCCTCCAGCTGGTGTCTGAATCAGCCTTATATCACTTGGTTCCATTTATATATAAAAAAAAAGTCTATGATCTGCCAGACAAAATGCCACTCCAATTTTACCACTGGAACATTTTACACTATATGAATATGAGCCAACAAATGAAAATTCAAAAATCCATGACATGAGTAAGAGTGCATTTGGAAAAATGTATTCAAAAGCCTCTTCCCTGTTACAAAAAATGATTACTGTTAATTTCATATGGGAGTGTAAATGCACTGTGAAACAAATCTAATGTAATAATGTTTGACCTTTAAGAGACAAAGATTCTGCTCTTAACCATTGTGAATGAGAATATCAATAAACATTGTTTCCTGTATCCCCTGTTCCTGTAGCTTGTGTAGACCTTTTAACAGCTGACCTTTATGTGTTATATTCAGAAGACGCACAGGTCGAACTAATAACTCTAAAGATGGCTCAGGTGTTCCAGTAAGTCATGAGAGCAGCCAGCACATGTACCAGGCCCTGGAACAAGACCATCATTAATATTATCAGTAACACCTTTGTTTTCCCTGCTGGTGTAGCATGTGTTACTTTTGTGTACAGAAACTGATGTAGCAAAACATTCAGTTATTTTCTGGAAGTGCTGAGACATTTGACCAATTTCATTTTACCATTTCAGAGGAGAGGGAGTCCAATTAGTCAGTATAATCATTTTAAACCATATTAGCATATGTTTGTAGCCTACATGTTCATCATATTATCTACATGTAATATAAGGCAGAAATGTGAAGTATACCTTCATGCATAATATGTCCATAAATAGTTTGCATAAAATCTCTGGAATGGATTATCTCATTATATTTATTGACAATTAAATGTTTGATTTATTATGAACAATATATTATTTATGGACACATTTTATTGACTAGATTATTGAAAAAGTTTCATTTCGATTGCGCACGACCGATTTCTTTTCAGGCGATTCTCTAGCCACCACATATCCGGCTGGGGCTCTTTCACAATGACAACATGGCTGCCTTCTGCAGGGGCAGACACCGGTGGAAAAGGACTAACGTTAGTTGTTTGCATGTTTTGACAAGAAACCTGACAGGTAACAATATCTAGCTGAGCTATTGTAGATATATGTAGATACGGAGGACGGAGCGGGGTCAGGTTAATAGCTGGAGTTGTTTCTGCTAGCACACAGATAAACTACAAACAGCTACTGTAAGTGTGCTGGAGCTGCTGTTAGTTTTATCCTGTTCATTACCGTAAACTACATTCACCTGCTGTCGTCTCCGGTAGAATGGAGTCGACTACATTAGAAAACGCATCTTTCTCGGCCGCCGTATTATGCTTCTCGGCCATATTAAGCAGCAGAGCTCTGGAGTCCTGAAACCAGTGGACCTTTAGGGAGGAGCAGCTCTTCCAGCAGCTGAGGAACAGACCTGGCACAGCGCTTTGGGAACTGTCTGTGGTTAGACTTTGATCAACCTCGGCTCTTCCCAGAATAACTTAGAAATGGTGTTTAAAAAAAAAAAAATACTGTTTTGTTGCTGAAATGCTCTACAAATCCACTTTCCACAGCATAGGTACAACCGACCCTCCATAACCCTTGCTGGGATAAACACTGAAACCCATTATTTAAAGCTGCAGTAGAAAGCTTTTATAAAATTAGCTTTTTGTTATATTTATTGAAACGTTCACTATATCCTGACACTGGGAATCAGACTCAACAATCAACCATCTTCAAGCCACCAGCCCAAAGTGTCTTTCCATCTTTCTTGGCTCTGATGGGTTGTTTTTGAGCCAGAGGAACCCTATTTTGAAGATTATCTGTGTCCTGTACCACAGGATATAGTGAAAGTTTCAGAACATATGACAAAAGGTTCATTTTATTAAAAAATGACCCACTGCAGCTTTAAGATTAATAGTGTTCTGTGTTGTATACTGAACTAATAGGTGTTTCTGAAAGTGTTGTTCTACCTACGTTCAAATTGAACTGCCAGATGTGTTGATGGTGGAGTTTAGTGTGCCAGTCTCCCCAGAGGAGAGATGTTCATATATGTAAATGCAACACTAATAGGTTCATAACTTTACTGTTTACTATTCATGATCTCATATGCTCAACAGGAAAGTATGACTATGACCTGGTGGTTATTGGTGGTGGGTCAGGAGGCCTTGCCTGTTCTAAAGAAGGTGAGATCTTTTGAAATGCATATTATGCCTTAATCTTTCTGTAAGTATGTATGATTTCTATCTAAGACATTGTATCCATAATTACAGCGGCACAGGTGGGACAGAAAGTTGCTGTTTTAGATTATGTGGAGCCATCTCTTAAAGGTAAAATATATTTTTTTCAACCTGTTGTGTAAGTGGATTTTAAAAACTACAATTTTTTTCTGAAGATTTAAAGACACCATTGTTAAACCCTCTGGAAATGCTTTTCCAAACAGGCACCAAGTGGGGTCTCGGTGGTACATGTGTTAATGTTGGCTGCATTCCTAAGAAGCTCATGCACCAGGCTGCTCTACTTGGCAGTGCAGTCAAAGATGCTAAGAAGTATGGCTGGCAGATCTCAGGGCCAGTCTGCCATGACTGGTAGGTCAATCAAAAGTTTTCCTTGTCTATGAGTAGGTAAATAGCACCATCTAGTGATGGAGTCGCGGTAGGTGCTTTAATGGTTCCTTGATAGGCCGAACAGTTAGATCAAATTATAGTTTGGTCAGATTTGAATTTGAAAGCATAAAGCATCTTTTCCTCCGTATACTGTCAGATTGTTCAGGTCCATATATAATGAATATTATTTTTATATATTCTATATTACCTGTGGTGTGTTTTCCAGGGCCACCATGGCAGAGGCTGTTCAGAACCACGTCCGGTCTCTGAACTGGGGTCACAGAGTTCAGCTCCAGGACAAGTAAGTGACAACCATCTTGCTTTATTCAGACTTATTTATTTTAATGATGTTTCATTTAATAATGAATTTAGCTGCAGTAATGTAGGCAGGGACTTTTGATTTGAGGGTTAGTTTAGCTGGCCTTAAGGAGTTTCAGTAGAGTTTTTATGACCCATTACATTTTAAATGTTTACACCCTGCCAGTGTCTTTTTCACAGTTACTAAATGCATGTGCAGAATACCAACTTAATCATTAATGTGATGTGTTATCTGCGCTCTCTGTCGGGCCTTTAAAATCGATCACCTCATGCAATGTACAATAAATATGATGTGTTGTCTCACTCATCTATCGTCTGTCGCACTTCTCCCCTCACTGTAGCATTGTTTGTTCCATGATAAACAGAATAAACATAAGAATTAAAATAATAGAATATTTCTATTGAGATGTGTTTTTCTTCAGCGGTTTCTCATTTTTATGACTTGAAATCTTGCTGAAGGCTCTACATGTCAGTTGGATTGAGAGTCAGCGACCACATGTTGATTGAGTGGCTGGCTGGAGGGCAAACAGGTGTTAACCTCTGTGTGAATGTGCCCAAGCTTAACCTAACATGTTTTCAATCCAATGAGGTTGTTTGTTTGGACACAGCCTATTAGTAAAAGTTCTTATATGATTTAATTTCCTTTTAATTAACAATTAGCCCTGAGAGGCTTTCAGAACAGCACCGAGGCATTGTTAACCATAGTGCAGTGGTGTATTAATTACAAGTATAATAAAAAGGGGCGCAGATGTTAAATGAATGTCTCAATTTTAATCAGTAATAATGAAGTTAGATTTTACTGCAAGCAATAAAGTCCTGTTGGTGTGAGTAATACTTAACAGTTAGCACATGAAAATTTTAAATAGCAGTTGTTTGCAGAGAGGTTTTGCATTGTACATGCTCATACCAACTGATGAATTCAAAAAGGTATTTTTAAACAAATTAATTTACAATTTAAAAACCCTAATTAAATGAAGTGGAGGGCTGAATTTATGATGTAACAATTGATTTAAATTGTGAGTTTCCACTTTAAAATCAAAACAAAATATAGAAATGTCTTTTAAAACCCCCCATGCAGTACGTCCCCATTGTTGATCCAGATGCTCAGTATGTACTGATCCATAAAGAGATATAGCTCAACATTCATTCTATATCCCCTCTCCTTCTGCTAGTAAAAAAAGAATAATAACACCTGTCTTTTGAGTTAAATTTGAGTTACAGTAGATTAAATGTAGAGAATGTACAGTGAGAATTTAGCAGGAAATAAGTGAGAGGAATGATGAATGTGGTTACGAGTAAATCCACAACAGTTTATGCACCACCAGGAGCAACCAGCTGTTTATTGTCTGTCTTACAGGAAGGTGAAGTACCTGAACCTCAAAGGAAGCCTGGTGGATGAACATACTGTTAAAGGATTAACTAAAGCAGGGAAAGAGGTGGGCGACATATTTCTTAATGAGACATTTAGTTATACATCAGTCCCAAAGTGATCATTGAGTTATTGGGAATCTAATCCAAAAATGTATTAATTACTTTGAAAAGAAAACCTGTTTTGTATGCTTGTTTTTATGTAGCTGATGATATAGCATATATCAATTGTGTAATATTATTTCATCCTACTCTATGTTTGCATATAGCTCCCTTGTGTGCGTGTTTATAATCAAATTACATTTTGCTAGCACTTTGTATTTTTTGTTACTTTCTCATCAGTTCATTGTAAAAAAATGTAAATACATTTCATATGTTTCTTTCTGCTTCTTATGAAATTGTTAAATTTGAAGTGCAAACTTTGAATTCAATCAACTTGGGAATCCTAGTTTATATGGACACATCTATACCTACCGAGAGTGCTAGGGATTTCAAGGTGTTTCTGTCATCATCTTAATGCAGAATATGAAAATGTTGTTGTTGTTTTTTTGAGGGATCTGAACAAAGGCTGTTACTTCACATTTCCCTCCTCTCTCATACAGACAATCCTGACTGCCAAAAACATTGTAATCGCCACTGGTGGACGGCCCAAGTACCCCACAAACGTAAGTAGCATTGCAATCATCGTTCCTCCAAGATGTGTCTCTTTTTCTCTGCCAGCTTTCTGGTTGGTTGGTTACCAGCTAGACAAACAAATGAGAAAGAGATACCTTACTGCAACAGAGCAACCAAAACCACTGAAGTGATTTAGAATATGGTTTGGAGGCATTACACTATGGCACACATACAAGTCTTAACACACAAAAAATGCCTGATTTTAAAGAGCAAATTGTTTGTTGTGTGTTCATATTATTGAAAGATCTGTTGATAGATGATAGTTCTCGAACTCTTGTTATAGATCCCTGGAGCAATGGAGCACGGCATTACCAGTGACGACATCTTCTGGCTGAAGAAGTCGCCCGGGAAATCGTAAGGACGCCTTCACACCTGCCTACTTACACATACACACGTATTAAATTATTTTATTATTATATTATTATTATTATTATTATTATTATTATAATTAAGCAGATAGTACACAGTCAGTGCCCTCTACGTCTGATTAAATGCTGTAGTGATGTAAAGTAAAAAGTCCTGATAATTTGGGTGATTTTTTTTCAACGAACATCAACACCAATATTTTGTTACTGCTTCAGCTCCAAAATAATATCCTTCTTGAGTGCATGCTTTCTAGTACGTGTAGGATTGTTGGCGTCGCCTTCTGTACATTGAGCTACGAGGGAAACAGAACCTCGGACCTCTGCAGTATTAATGCCTTGCTCTAACAACTCACCGCACTACCTTTGCTCGCTGACACGACACGTCCCACACTGTCACGCACTGTAATCATGCATCAGTGACATGCAGTTTGTTTTTCTCCCTTCCTGTCAGCCTGTCTTCGCCTCATGATTCAGATTAGCAGCGTGCATCCTGACCTTTACAGAACAAGCCCTTTAATCCAGCCATTTAGCCGCTGTCATCACCTGGTTAATTGGTCTTTCCCTGATGTTTCCTCTTGGCACCACGTGCAGACGGTGACTAGTGGTTGTGGTATACCTGGGTTGTGGTTGTTGTTTGCCTCACGGTGACAGATAAGCGGAAATAATGATTCCAATATTTAAGCTTCATATATAGGTTGTCTGCACCTAGGGCATGGAGTTTTTAATTGTTTTTAATTATATAGTTTTTTCTGTGTTGACTAATAATTAGCGGTTGTGTATTTCTCTCAGTTCGTATGCAGAACTTTTTAAAATCTTTTTGAGGACCATCAGTTCCCTCCATAATTTTAGCTCCAAAATGTGTGGTATTCCAATGTAGTGTATGTATACTAATATGTTTGCTATTCTGGTTTTTGACCACTTGGTGGCAATACAAAATCATTTATAGTTTACAAATCAACACAAATGCACTGTAACCATCCTCAAACAATTGCCACTGTAGCATTCACCCATTCAACAACACACCTTTGTATAAATGTAGTAGAATTATCCACTCAGAAACACTTGAGCTTAGGAAGTCCTTTGATCTAAGAGTGTGATGGTTAGTGGAGTCCTCTACCTCCCTGCAGGCTGTAAGGGGTTAGCTGTGGGTTAGCATTAGCTTTAGCTTTCTCTATAAGGGCCCTTAACCACACACACTCCAGCCGGTGATGTTGTTGTGCTGCAGAGCTATCAGCTGTGCAGGTGAGGTCCGAGAGGCTGTTTCTACCAGCAGGGCTGGTGTGGGAGGGGGTCCAGGTGATTGATGAGTGTCTAATGGATCTTGGAGCACATACACACCTGAGTGACAGATTTGGCCCCAGGAGCCGAAGCCCAGAGCTCATCATCGTGCTATCAGGAGAAAGCAATGAGCACGTGCCAGTAGGACTGTGATACTGGTCTGAGAATAGGCCAGTACTTGAATCAGTTGGGGCATTATGAGGGTTTGTGCTGTGGGTCTAACTCTGCTTTGTGTTGTTGTCCATAGTGGACAAAGATCTCACTTCCCGGGAATATCTTTCAGCAGTTTTATGGCAAAGCGTCACAGATGGCTGCAGCAGTTGTAGAGAAACAAAACATACACAGGCTCTATTTTGCATACATGCTCTCTGTGTCTGTGTAATACCATGAACAGCGTAACAGAATGTTCCACACAAGCCAACACGGTCTCAATAGTACACTCTAGCATTGCAAGATACACAGCAGCCCTGCCACACATACCTGCTCCTAATTGACAGATTCATGTATCAAAATAAATAGATGTGTGAATTTGTGCTGACTGAATGGAAAAAAATCTGGTCTAAAATGTAAAAAATCTATTGTTTAAAGTAACACTGACAGTAAACAGAGTGAGAAATGTGTGTACCTTCCTTGTCTAGAAAGAAAAGAGGAAGTAAAACTAGAGCAACAAGTTTATGAAATAAAAAGGTCAATATACCTTTTTTACCTCTCCTTTATAGAAAATTGTATGAATTACACACAAAAACATGTACTTCCATAAAAATATATTGAGAACTTTTCAAGAAGTCTAGGAAAAATAGAAAAGAGAACACCAAGTGTTATCATGTAAGTATCAAAATAAAAACCTCTGCTAAATCCACAAGATTTTACAGAGCTTCAAATTGTTTTACCACAATATACTGGTCTAATTAATGCATTTTATGAAATTATTATATCTCCCAATTAAGTGTCATCCACTTCAGAGAAGTAACTGCATGTGCTGTTTTTGTTTAAATACAGTATGTATTAATTGTATGCAAGATTAATATTAGTGAATAATACCACTTGCCAATCAGAGGCTCCTCTGAAAACTTTAAAATTTGTTCATGGAACAAGAAACATATTTAGGCATTTAAATGGAAAAGTGCTCATTAAGAAGAAGTTTTTCAATGCAGAGATCAGAAGAATTCCATGCATGGAACTTTTTTTCCCCATCTAAACATTAATGGACAATACATGCATTAGTTGTTGTATTTAGAATTGAATGGTTAAAAGGTTGGCCTTTGCATACTTGTTGCATTGTCATGAGGTCCATGTAGCTTTGGCAAGAATGAAAACCAAAACAGTGACTCAAGTACGTGTGGCCCATGAGACTGTTGGCAAACTGAAATGCCTCCAGGAAGTTTAAACAACCCTTAATAAATCTATCTAAGTTGGACTCCCATCCAACCATTTCAACAAAACCGCTCATCACATCACATCCCATCACTCACTCACCATAGACAGGAGTATCCAAAGCTCATGTTTATCAGTGTTGGGCCTTCTGAAGAACTACCCAAGGTTAACAGGCAGCCACAGACAGTCAATGGCAAACCTCCTTCCTCAGGAGTTGTGAGTCCATTGAAACCTTGGCTTGAGCCCCCGACCACATGCTACCACTCCACTGAGCCAAACCTCATAGTTTTATAATGTTTCTGTTTGTTGTGTGGCTCGTGTCCACTTCCTATTAGAGTTCATGAGATGTTAACCACTAGACAGCCTCCCCCTTTTTTTTAACTGTTTGATGCCTGTGATTTTTTTATGTCACTTTGTTCAAGACATGGATAAAAATCTGAAAACGTGAGGAACAGGAAAAGGATTAACATTGCCACATTTTGGTACAGCTGATAACAGGATCTGGCTTTTCCTACGCTTTCAAATTAAATTGTTAAAGCAAGACTGTCAGATAAGTTTCCCCCCAGGCCGCCTAAACAGTGTATGCATTGATTACTGTAAGACAATACAGGAATGGGTTGTACATGACCTGGATACAATTGTCCCCTGTTCTCTTTGAATATCTGGCTGATAAACAGAATAAAGTGTATGTTTCAGAAGTTTTACACTCACTGTACTTTCATTAGGAAGGTGGATCAACTTTTTGTATGGTTGAATATATTTAGTGGTTTTCATATTTCAGAAAGTAGAGAGGTGGTTAGGTAACTTTCCAAATAATGCATAAAAGGTCTTCAGTAGCAAACGTCAATGTCTCCATGGCCTGGCAGCTTGAGAAGCTATTCAGCCACTGATTAACAGTTGGTGCTTCAGATCTTTTAAGAGCAATATAATATTTAGCCTGTAGGATACAAAGACCATATTCACTCTTCACGCTGTTGCTTCTGTTTCTTGTCCCTTAAATATCACCATTGTTAAAAGGGTTAAGACGGGTTGTAAGGGATCTCTAGCATCAACTTGTAGTTGAAAAATGTAGCAGCTGTACAGACTCCAGACCAGTATACAATGCGAAGGAATAAGGGCTAGGGGAAAGGAGACTTTTCAGTGATGAAAGTGTAGAATCAAGCTAAAGCTCTTTGCCTAATCTTCTTTAAGCCACCCCACAATACGTGCTAAGAGCAGCCGGGCACTGGGGCTTTTAGTGGTTAGTGTTAGCATGGACAAGGGCAGGATGTGCCGCAGGCAGCCCGAGCTGTCAGGTGGAGCAGACCTCAGGGAAGGAGGTCTGGGTTGGAAAGGTAAAAACAAGGGAGAGAAGGGCCTCATGCATGCGGGTGATGGGCGTCACTCAGCCGGCTGATGTGTGGACTTGAGCCCTGAACATGGCACACCCCATCTGCAGGGATTAGCCTAAACACTGTCAATTAGCCCTCCTCAACGCCACTGATCTCAGGGCTGGATTAGAAGTGTGATTCACCTGGACCACACACACATACACTTGACACTGCAAGTGCACGCACGGACGCACGCACGAACGCACACACACACACAGAGCTTTTCCTGTCCCTGTTTTCTAAATTTTCTTCACACCTCTTCCCTTTGAGCTTAAGAAGTTTTGTAGTTCATCACCTCTCTAATTGTAGGATTTAAAGTAAACATTTTCAACTTTGGACTTGCTTTATTTTATTTGGCCAAAGTGTATTGCACAAATGATGAAATGTATTTTTATTGTATTATTTGTACGTCTAAGAGCTTCTCTCTCTCTACGTTGCAGGCTTGTGGTTGGAGCCAGCTGTATCCTTTTTCTGGCAGAGAACTTGTAAATGGAGCCACTGTATAAAGTCCACTGGTTGTCACTGGTAAAAATGATATTGGCAACAGACCAGTTTCAAATAGTATTTCTGAATAACTCATTGCACTTGTTTTAAACTCGGGGTGCCATATTTGCAATACTACTGTGACTGTGATTTCCCTTCTTTGTAAGCTACATTCCTATTGGGCAAGTGTCAGTCTTTATGTGTTATGGGCACACATGAGGTGCTGCTGTACATGCAAATCAACAACAGTACTATAATCCTCAGCCTGATGTTGCTCAGATGTGGCTCTGGAGTGTGCAGGCTTCCTCACTGGCATTGGCTTGGACACCACAGTGATGGTTCGCAGCATCGCCCTCCGGGGGTTTGATCAGGTATTGCTCCCTGAACTACAGTTCTGCATATTCTGGACTTCATGATTGTGAATTTTGCCATGGTTGAAGGTGGATATTCTCTTTTGGTTTTGCAGCAAATGTCAGGTCTAGTGACAGACTACATGGAGACATATGGGACCAAGTTTGCATGGAAGTGTGTCCCAAAGAGAGTGGACAAACTCTCCTCAGGAGCTCTGCAGGTGACCTGGACTGATACCCACACGGGCAACGAACACAAGGACACCTACGACTCTGTGTTATGGGCAGTTGGTGAGTCTTTGTGGGTCCACATCTTGGGGTCGGTTCACTTAAATCTGAAACAAGCCTGAATTCATGTATTAATGAAACCCCTCTCACCCAGTCCACATGGAGGCCAGAGGGGCCAGGTTGTTGTTGTTATTGTTGTTTATTGTTGTTGTTGCTTATGGACATGTGAGGAGAGGAGATGCCAAGACTTTAGACTTGAGACTTTAGTCAAAAGAATTTGAGCTCAAGACTTGACCTGGACTTGACTGCTGTGAGTCTTGACATGTTTTAAGACTTAAAAGCAAAAACATTAGAATGTCAAGTTTTGCCCTGATAAAATCCAGCATCAAGCATTTCTTGCATAGCCTCACACTTTGGATATAACACTCTTAACATAGGATTGAAAGGAAAATGTTCAAATCTGTGTTACTGTAATATGACTGACCTGAAATTCTTAAGACCTCTGTCTTGACTTTGACTTTCCCTTAAAGACTGAAAAATATTTAGTAGGTCACATTCCTTTTAATTATGAGGGTCCCCTATTACAGCAACAACAATCAACCAATAAACACCTTAATTATGACCTTATTGTATAGTAAAGTGCAGTAAGGAACTGCTTCTCCCTTTTTTTTATTACATGTAATGCACCACCCATATTGTTTCCCACATATCTCCCTGAAATAAAACACTGGTATGACTATTCTCCCTGCCACCATCAATTTCATTGTCATCCTCAATAGAGTGCAGTGTCAGCAGATAGCAGAGGAATCAAGGCTGAAAACAAAGTAATAAAGTCTGAGTGATGGGAATGGCCAGGGGAAGTGTTAATCACCCACCGCTGGCTCTCTGGTTGGAGAGGGACAGGACGGGGCAGGATGCACCCAGGCACAGGGTCACTGCGTTCCCCTCTTTGTTCTCCCTCTCTGGGCCTTCCTGCCCATGCCAGCCCTGCGGAAACCAACCCTGCATCTGTCACTGCCATCCCTGCCCGCGGCTCTCAGCCTGCCATTACCACCTCCTCCTCCTCCTCCTCGTCCTCTTTCACATCTATCCATTCTCTATTCTATCATTTCACCTCTCCCGTTCCACCCGCAGTATGAGTAACAATGGAGGGAACATCCGTCAGGGCCGCTGCCATCGGTTTATTTGTGTTGAGCCGTTTCAAAGACAAGGCAGTGCTTCTGAAAATTTGGCTGCCAGGCTTTTCCAATGCCTACTTCACTAGACTGTTGCTTTATTTGAGCGTTGTGTGAGAGAGAGAGAAGGGAAGAGGGTCCTCCTCTCTTGCTCTATGCGTGTGACAGCGACAAGGATGTGCGTGACCCTGCAGCTGAGATGACGTTCGTTCTTCCCTCCTGTGGCTCAATTCCCACATCGTCTCAGCGTGAGACTGCTGGTGAGAATGACATTTGCATTGAGTGCATATATCAGTAGGTATTCTGACATGCGTGAGCTGCTGCAACCCCTACGCTTCCTATATTCATTAGAGTGAGAGTTCTCACCCAAACCCAGAGAAGCACTTGACATTTTGGGACCTGGCAAAAGCAGGATTTCAAATGATTCTTTATTCCAATTTACAGTGCAAAGATATTTTAGCATTTTTCATGTAAATTTTACATTAAATGAAGAAAATTATTAGTTCCATCATCATCCATCATTACTGTTTTTATTATTGTGCTTTTGCGTACCATGTGAGGTGCCTTTTTAAAGCAAGAGTATTACTATTATTATTCTATTGCATATTAAAAGGCTTCCCTGAAATACTTGTAACACCAGCAGCAATATCCTTGTGTTAGTGCTACTAGTTAAAACCTTGGAAGACCCAGCTATATATCCATGACCGCTTTTGTTCCCATACAGTTTAGTGAGAACAAGTTAGAACGTGGCCTCTGCTCTTTGATGTGAGCATGCAGGAGTTATGAGTACAAGGCCACTTCCTTTTACTGTGACCTTACACTAGGGGCCAGGCAGGGTCCCAGGCCTCTGTGGAGTTATTAAAGGCCAGAGGGGACCGGGGGACAGTATCACCACTGTCTGCCACATCCTTCTCCTAGGCCCTGCCTCGCTCCACCTTTCCCCTGCTCCTTCCTGGCCTCATGGCCGCTCCCATGTCCAGGTGTGCCCGCAGAAACACACCAGGAAACAGAACATTTCCATGCTTCCTGTCTGCATGCGGACAGTGGACACATTAGTCTTCCTCCTCACTGGGCCCTACAGTACTCAAGGATGTCATTTAAAAACATTTCCTAGTTTTTTTTTAGAGGACATTTGCCTGTCTCAGTTTTATAAGTTACTGATGACACCCCTGGATGTTGTTTTTCTGTCTCTCAATCTGTCTGTATTACCCTGGAATTGAGGGAATAGCATTTTAAGTGATTGAAAATAGTCTTATTCCCTTTCTAGAGATGGTTTTGGGCAAGAACATAGTTACTGTGAGACACTGAATATCGTAATTCAATATTCCTGTTACTAACAAATTAGGATGTGACTTTGTGCAAGTTGACAAGAAAGTTAAAAAGACTGTCCTCTTTCGGTCAAAAACTCTTAATTAATCTGATTCGTCTGGACTCCGGGCGTGATTTGATTCGATTTGATGGACAGTGCTGAGAACATAAGCAGACAAACCCACAATTGTCATCACATTTTGATTAAAATCTTGCTAAAGTCTGATTAGTGCTCAGAGGTGCATGACATCATCTTTTTCCAACTAAGCCCCCTCAAAACAAATACAGAAATCTCTCCAATGAAATAACCAAATTGGTCTAACTTCTCACAGTGAAAAACTGATTGTGAAAATCTAAAACTCTGAATTAAAATTAAATTAAAATTAAACTCTGTCTGCAATGTTTGTGTTCTTAATGCTCAGATGAGTAGAATCAGCTGAAAAGCTGAAAGCTACAAATGATAGTGGTGACTTCGTAGATTAAGTTTTGGTTTGCACACACCTCATTTCTGGACACATATTGAACAGTGATGATATTAAAACACACCTAACTGAATAAATGTAATGCAATGTCTGTAATGAGAATGTTCCCATTCTCTTGGTATATTTCATTACGCACAGGCGTTTTTTTTTTTTTTTTTACAGCTAGGGAGCGTTTTATCGATTTGCATCTTAAAATCTTTTTTGGCCTGAATTAGAACTCAAAATCAATTTTTGACATCCTGCCCGATATATCCCCCAAGAACCCCCTCCCCCGCATTGCTCTCCCTTTTGTCTTTGTTCATTTGATTGATCAGATAAGCGTCCGACTCATTTCAGCTTGTGGTGGGTTGTTGTGGCTAATTAGCCTAGCAGTCTAGAGGCTTCCTCTTAATGTCACAACAGGCTTTGTTCAGATTGGCCTATCGTGTGTGTGTGTGTGTGTGTGTGTGTGTGTGTGTGTGTGTGTGTGTGTGTGTGTGTGTGTGTGTGTGTGTGTGTGTGTGTGTGTGTGTGTGTGTGTGTGTGTGTGTGTGTGTGTGTGTGTGTGTGTGTGTGTGTGTGTGTGTGTGTGTGTGAGCTCCAACCAAGTCCCTTATCAGCCAGCTCACTGTTGTTGTGTCCTCAGCGTACAATGGAGCTCCAGTCACTGCTACAGTACAGCAGTGACTGGAGCAACAGACAGGAAGGCCAGATATGTAAAGACAAAGTCTATACTTACCAGTCAGATCCTACCGATATGGGTTTTTGTCGTGCAGTAGTGATATTTTTGCAGTAATTGATGCTGTAATTCAGTATTTTCAAAGCAGAACGTATCAAGTATTTGATGTTTCAGCTGCAGAAATGTATTCTTGTCAGGGAGGTAAAGCCTCAACAGGATGTAGACCACTATGGGGACAAAAACTCTGTTGAAGCTCTAAGACTAAAGAAACCCTTTATTTTAACCCTCTGTTTTAGTATTTATAACTTATATGAATACTTCATAAATTCTTTCTGTCACACTGTAATGTTATCAGCAGATATAAGAACACATTTGTCATTATATTTGTCATCAGTTATAACTTCCTCTATGAAACAACTGTAACTGGTGTTTAAATGTAATAAATAATTGAAAACACAGTATGACATAGCTGTAGATATCTATTGATATGATAAGACACACAAACACATCTTACAGTGTATTAGAATGCAGGTTAACACTGTTAATAAATAAATAAATAAAAACTCATGAAGACATGTGAAGCTTCGAGGCTGGAAATAACCAAACAAAAGCTCAAGGTTCACTTACTGAAATATGACCAGGAGCTGACAGCTACATTATAGTGTGTTACAATTTCTAAATTGTTTATTTTCTTCCTCTGAATTTAAAATTGAACCAGTTGAAATATGGCCGTTTCACCCACCACACTCAATCTAAGGGGATATTCTGAATATATATTTGTTTAGTAGATAGATAATTCCACTATAATTCACTTGAAATGACACCAGTTGGACAATGATGTGTATGCAGACTATTCCAGTGGACAAGAAAATATGTAAAGTCTTGCTTTTGGGAATTGGCCATGACTGCCTAACTTACCTTCTCTCCTCCTCTGTGCTCTTCCTTCAACCACCCATGCTGCGGCGCACTAGACAGGTCTCTGAAGCCCCCCTGGTCTGAGAAGAGGGTGGGGGGGGTTGTTCTTCGGCTCCAGCCAGGAAAAAGGGTCTCGGGGGTTTGTTATTTTTGCTGTCCGATAGCATCTACATGGGTAGCTCAGTGCGGGGTGTTTATTATGCTACCCAGGCGGGTTGTGAGTAGCTATGGAGAGGAGGGGGGAGCGAGTGGTCCACGCACCATCACCATAGAGACTCTGTGTCGACAGCATCAGTCAGCCGTCCCCCAGGAAGTGTCAGAAATCACACCTTGGAGTGTCCCGGGGGTTGATGGGATACCGATTCCCAGCTGCTCATCATTCTCCTCCTCTCAAGCTCTCTTAGCTGGCCAGATGTTGTTGTTTTCTAATTTAAGAATTCTAAATTAGGTATGACCTTCATTTTTATTTTAAGGTGTTTTATTATTTGAGCAGTTTTTTGTTAACTAGTTAATTGGTTGTTTTGCCCGAAAAAGTTCAAAACCCAGAGATATTTAATTTACAATGATATAACAAATCCTCACATTTTAGAGGCTGGTACCGGCTAAAGTTTGGCATTTTTAGCCACACTAGCAGCCAATTGTAGGGATGGAAAGACTCTTATCATGCAAGTCAGTTGAAGTGATGAAACAATTCTTGAGGGTAAATCATGCGACCTTATTGTTTTAGTGAGTCCTCACTCTTTCCACTCTGTCTACACTGGCTTTATTTGCATGCTACTAGGTGTATTAGGAACAGTGGACAGCTTTGCAGCATATATTAGGCTTTCTGTAACTACTGTAATTCTTGTACAAGGCTCTCTGTGTTGGATGGGCAGTGGTGGCCTTCAAACCTATGCAGAATGTGTTATGAACACTGAACAGTGAGCCTCTTTCCTCTCCCGCACCTCTTTCTCTCCTGAGATGTAATGTAATATTCTCCTTGTGTTGTTTCCTTCCATTGAACTCAGGCAGAGCCCCTGAAACCAAAGCCCTGGGCCTGGACAAGCTTGGTGTGCAACTCAACAAGGAGACGGGGAAAATAGTCGTGGGCGCTGACGAATCCACCTCGGTGCCGAACATCTATGCTTTCGGTGACATCAGCGAGGTAGGCATTGTCAACAGACACCACACTGACAGCAGAAACAGCCCTGATAACAAAGATAAAAAACAAAGTCATAGATGGAAAAACACTACCTAATTATTAGTCTTTATTTGGACAGTAAAAATCACTGTGCCAGTTCCTGTAAGTCCGTCAAACATCATCATCAGATCACCATGACAGAAAATGCTGAAATTAATTGATTGGAATAAATTGTAGTAAGTAGTAAGTCTTGTTAACACTTGACATCAGAGATGTAATGGGTGCTAAACTAATGTTGACCTCCAGCTCATATGCCAATATGAAAAAAAAAAAGTTTATATTCATCCCTCCTTTAAAATAGTATACTAATTTTTCTTACATTTGTTTTCTTTCACTAAAATATACAGTAGGTCCTTACTATGAAGATCATAGAGATTTGTAGTAGGGATGCACGATAATTATCGGGGCAGATGAGTTATCGGCCAATAATAGGAAATGTATATGATTACGAATTATCGGGATAATTAAATTACAGCCGATGAATTACCCGTCCATAATAATAAGAATTTATTTTGGATTATTATGCAAATCGATTGATAGGCTTTATGTTCTATGAAAGTCAAAGTATATTTTTTGATGTACTTAAAAAAAAAAGTAAATGAGTGGATAAAGTTTAGATTAGGCTCTAGATATAAAAAGTACTTTAACCTTGTGTTTTGTTGATATCGGCTTTACTTCCTCATTGTTTGGGGTCTCCTAAAACCCTATGCTGTAAGTATAAATATCATAACAATATTGGTAAAATCAACCGTTTTTTCATCTTTAAAAGGTAAATTTTCTTTTCTTCTGCCCTTATTCAAACCAAATGTGTAGGGAAAAAAAGTTTGGAAAACATTTGATGAAAGTGGCTAAATATAGAAATGATCATAGTTATTATTTCAAAAATAATCTTAATTAAATTAAAGGTATGACATTCATTTGTGCAAACATAATAGACATACCAGCAACTACTACAGAGTATTAAGTGAAGCTATTCTAACCAGCCTTCATATAATAATTGGCATTGCTGCTGTGTGTTCCAGGCTCCACCAGCCATGTTAATACTAGTTCTACCTGCTGCATGTAATGTTGTTTTTTCACCGCGACCAGCTGTGTGCTTCCTTCCTGCCTCCCAGGCCTCCTGACACACACACACTCTTTGTGATTGACAGTTTGCTTTGATGAGTCGTACTTCACCCCAATCTGTCTGTCAGCTTTTCACAGCAACGATGAGGCTTTTTTATTCCTTTTTCTTTTTTTAAGTAGGAGGGTTGATATCTCAATTTGTCCAGTGCTTTGTTGGGCTTTGTTTTTTCTCCTCAGAAAACGGTGCCAAGAAATGCATTATAATGACGAATGACAGTTACTGGAATACCAGAGCACACATCCACATACATGCAGAGGTGCAGGAGATGTTTAGGACAACAGGATGTGTAGTGGAAACTTAACAGGTTTTAGTCATGTCTTTAGAATTGCCCTGCAGCCCTACTGTTTCCTGGGCCATTCAGGTGTGTGTGTGTGTGTGTGTGTGTGTGTGTGTGTGTGTGTGTGTGTGTGTGTCTGTGTGTGTGTGTGTCTGTGTGTCTGTCTGTCTGTCTGTGTGTCTGTGTGTCTGTCTGTCTGTGTGTCTGTCTGTGTGTCTGTGTGTGTGTATCCAAGACTGTGTTTGTCTGTTTTGGCTGACATCCAGAACGATAAAGGCAAAAACAAAGAAGCAAAGGTTTTCTCAGAGCTAGATGGTTTAAATGTTGAGCACTTATGATAGTCACTGACTCATGGTCCACATTGTCTCTGTGTGTTTGTATTTACACTATTTCAGCACTGACTATCAATGTGTGTAGTCATAAATGAGTAACCAAATGGTTTAAACTTAGACTGCTGTTACTTACATTGAGATCAAGAAATCTTAAGAACTAGATCTACATACATAATGCATTTGAGCTACAGAAATGCTGAAGTAAATTAAATTGTCTCTTTCTTTAGGGTCGTCCTGAATTGACCCCAACAGCTATTAAAGCGGGAAAGCTCCTCGCCCGCAGACTGGCTGGTCACAGCACTGAGCTCATGAACTACGACAACGTAAGACACACACACTGAGAGGCTGATCCTTTCCCTCAGTCCCTCCACAGCTTGTGTCTGTGTGGCATTTATTTTGAGACTATTGTTTTATGCTTAATTTGAGGCTAATTATAACCTTCACTGGTGTTTTGTGGTTGAGGTCTCTGATATACCCACATATCTTGCTGTACCTCCAGCCTCTTCTCAAGATGAATCATTGAATAAACATACTGACATTTTCCAAAATGTCATCATCATTCTTTATCATCGCTATATATTTACATTTCAGCTCTTCTGCAAGTCTTATTGGAGGTTTTATTTCAGTGATGAGTATCTTTATATTCATATTAGGGGGATTATTAAGACTGATACGTCTGAAAAATATTATTTATACCCTCCATGGTATTGAAATATAAAGCAAAAGCAATCAATACTCTGTAATACATGAAATATTTCAGACCTGAAAAAGGTCCAGAAACTGTCAAAAGAGTTATAAAATAGGAAATAATGATTATTTTATCATTTTTTTATGATTTATTTTCTCAGTAATCACTTGGTTAATAAAATGTCATGTATAATGTGTCTGTCTGTCAGGTGGCCACCACGGTGTTCACCCCCCTCGAATATGGCTGTGTGGGTTTATCTGAGGAGGAGGCTGAGAAGAGGCATGGAAAAGACAGTATAGAGGTAAAATAGATGTGGTAGATGTGACGCTATAATACAGCTGTAAACAGTGAACTTTCAACTAAATATTTCTAGAATGAATTTGTAGTATGTTGAATAAAAGCCCTTCATATGTCCACATTTCAAGTTAAAATACAACTGCACTCTTAACACAGAACTGCTGTAGCATGGTCAACAAGTGTGACTGTAACTGTGATATGTTATGAGTTTTGTTTCTTCACCAATAAATATGTGCCACACATGCACAAAGAAAGGTACACAGGCAGTGTTGGTGGCTTGTTGTTACCGTCAACCTGTAGAAAAGCTACAATGATCCATAACCCATAAACAAACATTGACTCACGCATACAATGCAGCAGCAAGCAGCTCTATATATTACGTGCTCACGTAGATGAGCGGCGTGCCAGATGCTAGCCAACACCTGCACGAGGCCGCTGATAAACGGTTTAGCCGGCGAGGTGGGGCTCCTTGCCGTGACTGACAGGCGAGCAGGAGGCCTGATTGAGGTGTGTATGGGGTGATGACAGGCGCGCTGAGATCTGAGGAGGAGCTGTAGCACCGGCCCCCGACAGCTGCACGGCCCTCACAACTTGTGTCGGCACGTTCGCCCGTAGAATAAAACACACTACACACACGTTTTCAGTGAAGAGTTTGAAATCAGTCACTATCATGGGCAAGCATAGATATCTTTATTCTGTATGTATATTCTCTATGTGTGTTTGAGTAGCTCATAAGGCGTGAGGGCAAGAGATTTAGAATCAGAATGTAATCACGATTAAACGAAAAGGGTATCAAACCTGATACTAAATTTAACATATGATTTTGTCTTATGCTATTGTAAAAAAAAAAAAAATTCTCATTCGGAATGCTGTATTGTCTGCAAAGCATTTTTTGTTGACTGTTCACGTGTTCTTTCAGTTGCTATTTTCAGAAAAAGGGAATTCATCACTGTACAAAATGTGGACAAGCAGAGATCAGCATCCTTGCTGGAAACTCCCTCAGAGTTTTTGTTTGCACATTAGTACGCTCTGCTGGTTAAAGCAAAGATCACTGTGAAGTACGGATTGGCTGTAGGCAGAACACAAGATAAATCTGAGGACCACAGTAATACTTTCTTTGTAATTTCTGCTGACATAATTCATCTCTCTCTGTGTAGGTCTACCATGCTTTCTACAAGCCTCTGGAATTCACTGTAGCAGAGCGTGACGCCAGCCAGTGTTACTTAAAGGTAGGGTTGGACTGCAGCGTTTTTTATATGTATTTTTGAGGAGATTTTGTTGGCATTTTATATTTATAATTTAGTTCTTTCCACAGTATGTTTGTGTGAGACTCACTGTTTGTGCATGCATGTAGATGAAGGGCAGGAGTAGTGGGGCCTCCTGAAGCAAGTTGGTGGGGTTATACTGCTGTTCGAACGACATTTTCAGTGGGGTTGACTCAAGACATGAAACAGTCTGAACTGTCGAACCATTAAGTAATCTTGCCAACCTTTGATGTGTTCACCTGTGGTCTAGAGAGCCAGCTTTTGGGATCAACCGGCTCTACCAACCAAAAAGCTAAAAATAATCCTAAAATGCAGTGGTTTGACAGCTACAACCAAAAGCAGATGAGAGAGCCATGTGGAGCAAAACAAGTGAAGGGTACACAGCTACAGCTAACACCACGTTGGCTTAAATTCAGTTTTCTACCTCCTTAGGTGGTATGTGAGCGGGGTGGAGACCAGAAGATCCTGGGTCTGCACTTCACAGGTCCAAACGCTGGAGAAATGACACAAGGCTTTGCTCTGGGCTTTCAGTGAGTTTAATAAATCCTAAAATGTATTGACGGTAAAGTTGGTGTTTTTCGTGCATGTATGCCATATGGAACAACCATCCAAACAGTTATGGTGTTCAGTTGATGTGTTTTAACTCTCAAACTCACCAAGATGTGCAGAATGGAATGGAATTTTCTAGGATTCGATGGTCCTGATTACTTTCACTCATGCATTCAGCAAACCAAACATTAAAATGTTAGACACCAATGTAAAATATACTTATTTTGTCTGCTTTAGGCGATGTGGTATTGGTCACTTTTATTTGAACATATTATTATTATTATTATTATTATTATTATTATTATTATTATTATTATTATTATTATATATCATTAGAAAGGCCCACAGGCCCTTTTTGGAATTTCTAAAGTTAGAACACCTGACTTACAAGGTGTTATGCAAACAATGAACTGCCTTAATGAAACTATGAAAATAATTATAGCTGGGTCTTTACTCAGGTCCTTAAGAGAAAAAAGCTTTTGTTTCAAAACAAGACCATACCACACAAACTGATAATGAGAAGAAATGACAGGACTTACTCAAGGATAATAGATCATACAGTAGTCAGTCATGAGAGAGTGTGACTAAAAGCAACTTGAATGACCTCTCTGTGTGTCTGTATGTGTCTCAGGTGTGGAGCAACGTATTCCCACCTGTTGCAGACAGTAGGCATCCACCCAACCTGTGCCGAGGAGGTGGTCAAGGTCAACATCACAAAACGTTCCGGCTTGGACGCCACGGTCACCGGCTGCTGAGGTTAAGCACCTCGGCCTCTGAACACGAGTGAGCACACAAGGTCCCTCTGTGGCTTTAGAAAGAAGTTAACTTTGGTTTATTCTGCTTTTTCTCCTCGTCCCTCTCCTATATGGCCCCAAAATGGCCCCCAGTTTTACGGTGCTCTCTGAGATCTCTCTAAACTCTCTTCAGTCCTGCAGGTCATCACTGGCCGCCCAGGTTAGTGTTACTGACACATCATGTGATAACCAAGACTATGATTATCTCATACACATGCAGGTTGTGAGTGTATGTTCTAAAAGCACAGGGCTATAGATCAGGTTAGTGAGAGCTCTGGCTGCAGAGCGAGCGTCTTTTAAATAAACAGGCTCATCAATCAGAATTAAGGCCTGCGCGCAGGGTTTTGTTGAAATCGTACGAGAACCGTGGACTGAGCCTTAACGTTTTTCTGAATATATATTCTGCAAATATTGTTGTTTCTCTGGCTGTACTTCCTGTCCATTAGTCTTGGAGGTGACACATACCATACACCCCCACAACCCCCTCCCCCTATGACACTGATGGATAGCCCCAGGGCCGTCGCCGCAGCGACACCGCCCCATTTCCCATGGACACACACAAACAGTCGGTGGGCCGCCTGTCAGTCAGCCAGCTAAGACCTGGCCAGGGAGCTCCGGCTTGTTTAGAGCCCAGCAGACCCCTTCCTTTTCCTCCCATGCCCTTATCCATCCCACCGCACGAAAGAATACAGAGGGACTCCAAACATGTGCTGTCAAAAGCTGTGTGGATGCCACAGCCCAGGCACAGGGCAACTCTACCCATTGACATCAGTGCTGTGAGAGCTCTGCTAGAACTGTACTACTCAGCCTCATCCAAAGGTGGCACTATTGCCCTCCAGTTCTCCCCCTTTTTTTGGAAGACCAGATAAAGTAGTCACTGGATAAAACATAAGCCTGAATACATTCAGGTTGCACATTTAATCCCTTTAATCCCTATAAAAGATATGTGCTATTGGATGACGTTTGAAGGCAGACTGGCTTTATTGGTGCCAAACTGATAAGGGTTATCTGTTGTGTATTTACATGGATGGCAGGTAAGGCCTAAAGAGTCATCACCCTAGAAGATAAGGCAAGTTGTTTATATCAATAAAGCAGTAACAGTGAGCCAAAGTGCTCAAATGTTCAACCTGCTGGCTCTACTGGACATCTTGGGTTTATTAAGTAGAGGATGAGGAGGAGGCGGAGGAGGAGGACTGTCAATAATGTGCATTGCTACAGAAATTGGGGGACCTAAGAGGAGGCTGCTGGGCGTAGTTTATTATTTTTTTTAAGTCTAATCTGCCCAGTCTGATTAATGTTTTCGATGAGGGGAGTGACAGTGTGCCAGGAGACGGAGAGAGGAAAGAGAGAGAGAAAGAGAGGTACCAGGTTTATTTGGACCTGGGCCAGAGGAGAGAGAGCCGAGTTTCAGTCCTGGTTAGGGAGGGAAGGGGGGATTCCTGTGTGCTCTGTTCAGGGCTGAGGTGCTGACTGAAGGACCCTGACCTCCGCTCAGCAGGAACAGCTTGACTCTATCACTCGGAGCACAGAGGGCTCACATGCTGCAGCACTGCACGGCAGGGGCCTGGGGGGCTCAGGGTGGAGGGGGCTTAGGATGGCCAGGGGACGGACAGAGCCAACCAACCAGCCAACCAACACAACACTGAGCGGTAGCGGTGTGTTTGCCCAGGGTAATTGAGTCTATGTTCCTGTGCTTAACGAGCCACTTCAGAGACCTCAGGGTGGACCCAAGGCAACGTGAGGGAAGTTATTGAGGCCATCAGTGTAACTGTAATGTCTGTTTGCTTTTTACCCTCCACTTCCCTTCTGCCTTTTCTCATCCGCTTTATTATTTTATACACAGTGTGGCTGCTCACATCCTCAAAAATGAAATAGTATTCAATTCATATTATGAAATCGGTCCAATTTGAATGATCTGTTCATTGTTGTCACTCCAGGCCCAAGACTTGACCAGTTAGCCTCAGCTGTGCCCCACAGACGGGGGAGGTCAGGGTTCAACTTTCAGGTCGGCCAGCTAATGATGACCTGCGCTAAAACCCACAACTGGGGAGTGCAGGCCTGATGTCACCTGGCTGCCAACTTTTCTAGTTGTAAATAGAGAAGTGTAATTTTCCATTAAAGCTTTGTTATACATAATTTATATGTAAAGTAATGCACAGTGTCACCATTAAAGTAATGATTCCCACTGACTGAGTGTTCTGTGTTCTACATAAATGACTGCATGGTTGCTTGCATCTGTATCGTGTGTCCATGTGCATGAATGTGTACACATATACACATAGGCATACAGCACATGTGTGGAAAGAGTTTCTTTTCACCAGGCTATGTTTATTTTATAAAAACAAAATGTATACTCTTGCTGAGAGTAGATGAAACTGATAGCTGTGTTACAGAAAAAAAATACTGCAGTAAAAAAAGAATATGTAAAGTATAATTGCATGTACTTAAAGTAATAGTACAACATTTTAAAAAATGTGTTTGTTTTCTTTCTTGCCAAGAATTAGATGAGAAGATTAACACCACTCAGGTTAATATGGAATTACATGGCTGAGTCTTAATATTGACCAGTGTTACAAGGGGTGGTCACACTTTGACCCGGAGTCGTTTCTGCTGACAGGCTGCTCTGCTATGCGGCCCTGTCACTCAACCTTCAGCACCAACAATGGCAGAAATTCCACTGTGTTTGTTTTGTTAAGGACAGAGCTCTCTGAAACCCCTGAACCTCCTCAGGATCCACAGCAGCCTCACTCACCCTGAGAATGAAGCGGGTGTCAGCCATAACCCAGACAGCAGGAGTAAAGTTCAACCACCATCTCAAGAATAGGCAGTCCCATTTAGCAGTTGTGTCTCTTCTGTCCCTCCACAATGGAGCAAATAAGCTAAATCCACCTTGAAATGCACTTAGTAGAACATGTCAACATGTCAGGGTGCGCTCGGTTCTTCGCTCTTTCTTAATCCAGCCCATTGAATGCTGACAGTTGTCTGTGACTCAGACATTCACAAGGCCTTTGTGACTTCAGGTCTTGAGCTCTAGCAGCCACGCTGGAAGAGCAGAACCCTAAGACACACGTTAAAACACACATACTGGATATACAGCCCCACAACCGGAGCAAAAGCCTCAGGAGGAGGAGAAACCGATACATACCTTGTGTAAACATTAGCGAAAAAATGACGCTAGGAACAGAAAAGGCTCAACCTAGGCGAGGATTATCCCTGAGAAATGAATAGGGGCCAATTATGACTGCTCTGTTGTACTGCCAGTATCTGGCTCAAGAGCTGTCAGCCTGAGATGCCTGCAGGGCCTGGACGGGGGTGTGGTGGCTGGGGTCCTCAGGAGGCTTGATATAGAAAAAAAAGGGGATCTTAGACTGGTAAGCCATGGTGAATCTCCTAACTAGACTTAGGTGCTTTCTCCCTCATTTGGCCTCCCAAGTTCAAGACAATTAGCTCAAAGAACCCACTGAAGCCATGCACTAAGCCTAATGGTAGGCTCACAAAAACAACCATGGGAAAAAGGGTGTTGAGATGAGCTGGTGTGATTTCCTTTCATTTGCTCTATGAATATACACAGTTTACAGTAACCACCACTACTTCTGTGGGCACTCCCCAGTCCAAAGGCACATTTTAATCTTGACACTGGATTGTCACTCTGCCTGCAGTCTGAATACTCCCCATCAGGAATGTCAAGGTTCTCTTGATTGTTTCAACGATCTTAAGACCACATATTTGATCTTGCTACAACTGTAGCTTCTAGAAAGATTCAGTCCCCGAGTTCCCTCCCTTCTCAACTTCTCATTCAACCACAAACATTGGGGAAAAAGTCGCAGAGGTCAGTTCTTGTCAGAGTGGCGTCCTGTTGGTAGCCCGGTAGAGGTGAGGGCCTGTGAAATGAGCTTATCTGACCCCAGATAAGAACAGGATACCCTCAGGAATGGTCTAAACTCAATACACATGTGTCCTTTATCTGAGGAGAAGTGGGTGTTTGAAAAGGAGTTAGATCTAGCGCTGCGGTTAGGCCGGATCTATCTCAACCGGTCCAACCGACCACAGCCTTACATAGGACACCAGTGCCTATGGCCAACAGTAACAAGGATGTGCTACAATGTCATAGTTTGTGGTTCCAATCTCCAGACGTCACTAAGAGAGCTATTACGATCAGCAACCTCAACTCCTAAATCATTTAGTCAGGTCTGTTGCCACACAGGAAGCTGTCTTATTACCTCTGGAAGCTGTACAAAGATTTACTGAGCCGATGTCTGATGACGGCACACAACAAAGGACCAGTGTTTGTGTGTGTACACATGCCAAACCACACCAACTGGGACGATAGCAGTCTGCTTGCAAAAGCAACACAACACACTGATGTTTGGATCTAAACAAGACGTGTCTGGCAATCTGTATTTGGACTGAGGAATTATGATTATGTTGTTGTACTTCTAACAAACTCTTAATCATTGTCTGTTTGATCAGCTAAACTTTTTTCATCAAAACAGATGACATGTAGATTAATTGCTCAATTAATTCCATAGTTGTTCAGTACTGCATTGCTTTGTGGTTGCTTTGTATGCACTGGAATGAAACATTGCAGCAGGGTTTAAACCCAGTTTAGATAAGCCTAAGAAACTGAATCTTAAAAGGAATCTTCTAAAATTTCCTTTACAAAGCTACAAGTCAAAGTCTGACACAAAAAAAATTATTCAAATACCCTGAAGCAAAAATATATATTTCAAGTACATGTGAAATCATACATGTGGACTATGGTAATACAGTACAAATACTTTAGGCCGAAAAAGCTTTACATTTTACTGTAGGTTGGCATTAACCACAGCCTACAGTGTGTCAAACTGTGATGTCAAAGTGTGTTGCAGTTTGACTCTGATCCTGTTCATGATACCAAGGAACTGCTTGATTTATTGTAAAACTAGTTAAGTTAACTCTGGAAGCCAGCCTTAATAGCAACAGGATAGTCTGAAGGGATTAGGGACTAGATGGAAGTTTCCATTATGTGAGAATTATGTTTTATGAAACAAAATGTTCCTTAAATAAGCATGGCATTTTTGATTATGTTCATTTATGAAACTAAAAATGTGATGCATGTATAATAAAATGATAGGCGCTTGTAAAAGTAAAAGTATTTATCAAATATCTGCTGTTGTCTGAATTTGAAAGACATGGGCTTTAACATTCATAACTGCACTGATCAAACCCTGGTATTGATGGAGATAATCAACTTAACAAAGTAACAAACTACTTCATTACACCTCCTAAAGGTTTTCCAAAACACTAGCAGCTATAAACACCAACTTGACAGTTTCCTTCTGAATGTGTCTGCTCTGGGGCTCTGGTGTTATCAGTCTGAGTTACATCACATAAATCAAAGTACCTTCCAGTGCCATGATGGCTTCCCACTCTGCAGACAAAACATCTGGCTGGAACTGCATGGGACTGAGCTCAGCGCGTAACCAGCGGGATTGCAATTACTGCTGCTGTTCCCTGTCCATAAACATGCATATAGTCAGAATACACACAGGCTGAGCTGCAGAGACGGTCTTGTTATGTGATGCAGAAGGACTGCATGCTGGGCTCGCCTTCCGGCTGCTGTCGATGCCTCTCTGATTGATTCTGTCTCTGCTGTTTAGCCAATAAAAGCTCTGTGTGGTGGGACGAGGGGCTTGTGAATGAATCACACACACACACACACACACACACACACACACACACACACACTCTGCATGCAGTGTGTATCTGCTAGCTTTGCTTCTGGAGCTCACAGTTATGCCTGCCTGTGTTTATTTGTTGGTCACTGATCTGATGAGAGATGGCTTTCGTGGTATGTTTTGTATGTGTGTGTGTGTGTGTGTGTGTGTATGAGGTGGTTTGTGTGGGGGCAGGTGGGAATGTGAATGCGTGGGTGTGTCAGCAACATGAGCTCTCTTGCATACGGCCTGTATTTGAATGTCCACACACACTGCCTGTTTGAATGGCATGGTGTGGGTATACTGTAAGCCTGCATTCAGTACACATTAGCGTTCCCTAAAAATAAAGCTGTGGAGACCTATACCTCTGCTCTGTCTTTCCAAAACAAATTCAACATTTTCAGACAGTTCTATAACAGGAGCGTCACTGTCGCAGCCAAGCTATGGTACACACACACACACACATACACACAGACCAATGTATATATAGCCAGCTCAGTAATTAGCCCTCACAAAGTGACCTTTGGCCTGAATGTTATCCTGTATGACAAATGAAGTTGCAGCAGCAACATGAAGAGTGGTCATTAGTGTATGTCGAGGCGTATACTGGAAGAGGAGGCATGGCATGCGTATCAACTCACTCATCTGGGTTCTGTCCACCAAATGGCATTTTTAGACTGTCTTTATCTTTGTTCCTTTTGCGTGCCAATGGCACAAAGATGACCCCAGCCTTCAGATGATAAAGTGCTGGGTACTGGCAAAAATGTAAGCTTTGATGCGAACCTGATGTAAAGATCTATTGTTGCCATATACCAAACATTTTCTTTAAAAATAAATGCAAACTTCAATCAAAAATCTTTTTCAATTAATTTTACCATCAAAGAAAGAAAGACTAGCCACATGCCAAAACATAACTCTGGAACAATTTAGAGCTAATAAGTAGTTATTTAAATGATAATTATTATTTGATTCCTTGTCAAGAGTTAAATGATTGATACCATTCTCACATGTGGACTAAGACAGACTGCTGCTGGAGTCAGGAGGTGATTAACTTCGTTTAGTTTAAAATCTGGAAGCAGGGTGAAATTATTAGACGGCATATTCCATAACCTCGTCGTTTTTACATTTAAGTTCTTGTTTAGGTGGAATAAACACGAAGTATTATTTGATTAAGTCTTTAATCAATTAACTAATTTGTAATATTTAGAAGTGTTGTGGTGTTTTAAACTTTACACAGAGCCAGGCTATGCTAAGCTAATCATCTCCTGGCTCCAGCTCCATACTTTAATGCTGCAGTGTTGTTGCATTGTGGCAAAAAAGGCAAGAACAGGACAACATCCTATTATTCCAACTTTTTGACAGCCACGCATTATTCCAAGATTGACCCCCTCTGCTTGCATTGTTGTCACACCGTTTAAATAACCCAAATGAGCTACTTTTGCTGTGTAACATATCTGGAGCGGTTGTTAATGTGAATGTTAAGTAAAACTTTTATTTATATCTAACTAATGATGGTGGCTTTGCAAGAATTTTGCCATCAGTTTGTTGACACTTTCCCCAGTGGAAGATAAAGTAGCTGTCTTGGAATTACAGCAAGGAAGTTGACAAGAACATTTTCTAATTACAAAGACTTGAGAAATACAGTGAGTAGGTGCATTTCCTTGAAAGTCAAACTCTTACTCCTTAAGTGCAACTGGAAGACGGAGACATTTTTGAACAAAAAACATAAAAATTGTGTGTTATCTCCAGATATTTTCATGTATGCATCAGTGCCATTAACCAAAGACGAGTAAAGATGAGTAAATACTCATTCTACAATCACTGTAGAGTATATATGCTATTAAACAAGGTATTGGGAGCAAATTGAATAGCTTGCATGTGACACTGAGACAAATTGTTTCATCACATTACATGTATGTGCATTGAGTGTATTAGTATAAAGGACAACTGATGAAGAGGATAAACTTTAAGACATGCTTACTCCTGACTGTAATATCAGAGGGGGGTCAGAGATAATAATTTCTGCTTAATACTCCCAGTGGACACGACCATGAGAAACAGCTCCATCACTGAAGAGGAGTATCAAAAAGAACTGATAAGAATATTAACTTTAGACACTGGGTGCCTCCCCTTCTTCACTATTCCAAGGGAGGATGGTTCACTGGTGCTGATAGTGCCTGTGCATCAGGCTTTCACCTTCCTGCTACACACTGATTCATTAAACTTGTATTTTGTTCTATTGCTCAAAGTGACAGGCAGGCCAGTCACTCCTCGCCCTCCCTGAGATCTCTCCATTCACACCTGCAAAGATGCCCAAGTAAAACATGAGCCGGGGAGGCCTCACCATCACATGCTATGATGCTTGCACATTCAACACATACTCCCATACACAGAATCTTCTCCTTCTGTTCTGATAATTTTATGCATACCTGTCCACTCACATGCAGAAAGTTCAGGGCGATGTAAAGTTGCACATACACATTCATTCTTGTGTCCAACTGGTAGTAAAGTGCCATACTTAAGGGGACCTTCAAAGGAGAATCCATCCTGTTTTGTTCATTGGTGGTGATTTTTCTTAATCACATAACACCTAAAACATCAACATGTTTCCGCTATGACTTGCTAGAAGATTACTGTATCAAAAACATTAACACTTCAGGTTTTGCTGTCAGTCCCGAGGATACATTTTACACCCATTTTAATAGCTTCAGTCACCCAGAATTGAATGCAGTGACAGACATATTGGGTTCAGAGCATGGGGTATGTCTGCAAAACGTTTTTTGTATCCACAGACTTGTTCGTCCTTGCCTAAACTTCATACCACTTCACTGAATATTATCAAAAGCAACATTAATGAGGCCTCTGTGCCACTGCAGTCTCCCAGTAAACCCGACAGTGTTATGCAATATCAATGCCTGTCTTGCTGCTACAATGTAATTTATTAAATTCAAAGTTTACAGTAAACTGGATGTCAGGTGTGTGTTAGCTTCAACAAAGGTTTGAAAATCCCATTCTTTGTGTGAACTTTCAATGCAGCATGGAAATTTAAGAACCAGGTTCTTCAACACAAAATCAGTAGGAAATATAAAATGTATAAACAACAATTTGGACTGAGCTAATCTACCTATTTCCCTCCGTTTCCATTCTTCCACTATAGCTAAGCTAACCGGCTACTTCATATTTAGCTCACAGATATGAGAGTGGTATCGAACTTCTCATCTAACTCTCTGACAATCAGTGAATCGTTACATGAAGCATCACACTATTCCTTTAAAGAACTTTTAAGACTCCTTTCAAGACTTTTGCATGAATAAAGGTCCAACATACTGTTTAATATGGAATATTTTCTGTCTGGTATGTAATTAGTTAAATTTCACATTTAGAAACCCAGTAGAGAAGTATTGTGTGCTCTATATGATTGTATAGCTTATGTTGCTTTAATGCCCTGTTATGTCAGTAAAGAAAATTCCTCCTGCTCATCGTGCTCTTCTCTTGGTACAGTAGCTCTCTGTGTCCACACTATGTATTCATTACTTTACGGTCTGTCTCGGGGGACTTAAAAGCACTGTCTAGTGTTCCTCCCTGGAGTTTTGCCCTCCATGGTGTACAGTGCAGTACCTCTCCATGATGAGAGAGGAGCCTGGTAGCGTGTCCATCTATTTCTATCTCTCTGTGGTCTGGCTGCTGCTCCGGCTGACCCACAGCCTTTCTAATTTGGTGATGAGCTGTAAAGTGACCCCATGGCCGGGTGGCTGGAGCGAGAGTGGGATTCCAGGGATTTCCTTACCAGGCAGTCTCTTGGGTTGGATGGATGATACTGTATACACACCCCAACCCTGTCACACACACCCCGCCCTCTCCCTCTCCTCTTCCTCCTCGGACCCACGGGGAGACCAAGGCTCCAGCTCTCAAGTGCACCCTGGCATTGTCCCGTACACCCTCCCTGCCCCTGGGTAAGCTGAGATGCCAGGAATAATTGATGATGATGTAGGCCATGGTATCTGTCCAGGCAGGGCAGCGGACACTTTCTCCCACCTCCTGCTGAGGGGTTACCCTCCTGCCACCTCCATTTGCACTAATTGGTTTAAACTCACTCCTGCTCTACAACCCTCACCCACTCACCCTTTTCATGTATGTCATTAAGTGCTTATGTATTTCATCTAACTCATTAGTAAATTAGATATACTGATAATCCTCCTCCACTCTCTATCCAAAATATTGTGTGTCTCGTTTAGCATCATTAGGTATTATGGTATGTCTAGGAGGTGAGAATGTAATTTTAGTGGTGTCACGTAGATTAAAATGAATGCACTGCGTCAGAGGCTATGTGTGCCCCCGCCCCGATGAAGGCTTCATAGGACAAAATGTTACTATTTACTTGTCCAAATAAATTCAGGTGTATGTGGGGTATTTTCTCTCCCTGTTTTTTAAGGTTAAATGAGTCTCTAACCCACTGTGCTGTACACGCTATGCACCTTCTCCCACTGAGCCACCTGTATTCCTTATTGTTTCATTTCAGAGTGCAGCAGGGGGACTGGCTGACTCTAATCCACGGCCACAGAAGAGGTTTAAAACACTCTGGTTTCATCTAATCTTCCAGCTCAGACCTAGCCGAGCTTGAAACCCGCTTTCTCCATGATAGGAATGGACAAATAAAGGTCTCTCCCAGCACTCGTATGAAAGGGGCCTGTGTGCTCTGTGGATTAGGGCCCGGTGTTTTCTCTGTCTCTCTTTCTCCATTAGACTGAAAAGGATGAAAAAAAAAATAAAGACTCTCCTGTTCATGCAGTATTGTAAGGCTTTGCAAGTTCTATAGTTATCGTTCAGTTCTGATGTTTTTTTTAGTTTGTTAGTGTTTAGCAGCCCATTATAGAAGTAGTAGTAGTTCTTCTTTGTCAATCATATCATAAAAAGAATTTGAATTATATATCAGAGCGCTGTGCTCCTCTCTGTTTATCCAAACTAAACCTAACCATTAGTTTTTGTTTATCCAGCCTAGTCAATATTTTCATAGCTTCATTTTTAATCTCCGCAAAGTGACACCTCATAATAGAAATACCCCGACGCACAGATGCATAAACATGTAGCGAACGCACACAAACGGGCAGGCAGTCATACCAGGTTAGAGAGAGAGAGAGAGAGAGAGAGAGAGAGAGAGAGAGAGAGAGAGAGAGAGAGAGAAATGACTCTTTTGTACAGGCACTTCCATGGGCAGCTCATCGGCTGTAAACAGAGGTCCTTGAACTCCGGCGCATGTTTTGTATCCCTTCCTCGCTGAGCTGTCCGCCTCTCTCTGACTACTGTCCACACACCGCTGTCTCACTGAAATGGTATTTTGTGAAGTTTTGTTAAAGCTCTCCTTTTTATTGTAACTAGTGACGTTACTTTACCCCGCGTTAACGCCTGTCACACAGTAACAACATAGTGTAGCTGCTAGCTTGTTGCTAAACGTACTGTAAATAACACGCGACTGACAATTTAACTTGAGTTCTCATACTTTTCTGTTTTCAGCCCAACATTGTATTTAAATGCTTTCGCCTCAGAACCAATGGACACTGTTTTGAACCTTGATGTCCTCCGTTTGAGTCGCACGGAGACACGAACAAGCTCGAACACAACAATAATAAGCTCCGCTTCTCGTAACGTTACGTCCTTGTTGTCCTTTGTGGTTTAAAGCCCGTCCTCATGTTTACATCAGTAACATAAATCAGATCGATCAACTATATGATATGTCTGATCGTGGCTATGTCTGTTTAAGAGTGCTGTACATGAAAAGGAACTGTATAATTAACGAACAATTAGTAGTACAATAAGAACGAAACAATGGCAGTGCCATGTAAAATGCTTTCGTAATTAGCGTTAATTAACTTACGTGTTAAACCTCCGATCAGATTCCAGCAGAATATACTTTAGAGAGCTGTACTGAACAATGTATATGATTATGGAAGTCGAGCCTTATTTTAATATGCGTATTTGATGGCTCTTATCGTTACTAGAAGTCAGTGAGTACATGTATCAGCCAACTGCCTCAGTTTTGAATGAAGTTTGCTGTGACTGTTCTTGGTAAGCTTATTAAATATCTCGGAACTAGCTGTAATGAATCTTTATTTTGGGAGAAAGGGGTGTGTGGGAGAACTCAGCAGATACAAAAATGAGTTAATGGATTTCTTAAAGGTCCAGAGTGTACCAATTAGGAGGATCTATTAGCAGAAATGGGATATAATATTCATAAGTATATGTATGTATGTGTATATGTTTTCATTAGTGTATAATCACCTGAAATTAAGAATCCTTTTGTTACCTTAGAATGAGCTGTTTCTATCTACAGACGGGTCACCTTCCGTGGAGGCCGCTGTGTTGGACCGCCATGTTTCTACAGTAGCCCAGAACGGACAAACCAACAGCTGGCTCTAGATAGGGCCATCCACGTTTTTCATAAAACCTGCTAAAATAGCCGATTGACTCCTTTCCCGTTGCCAGTAGACAAGTTAGCTTTTTTCCCCCTGATATGTCACGTGTATTACAACTGCTTTGGAATAAAGGGTTATTATACAGCAGAAAGCAGCGCGGAGGCCAGTGACATTGGTGAGGTGGTTACTTTTTTTAATATCTTTTACGCCAGTCTCTCTTTTAAAGTCAACGCTGAGGAATCAGGAAAAGCTCTCTCAGCTTGTTGTCTGGCCAGCGTTGCATCTCACACAATACAAAGAACAAATGGCCATTGCACATTGTTCTCATAGACTGTAAAAAATAATACATAATCACTATTTTCACACCAACATCCGGAACTCCAACACACATCATAGTGTCAATAGGAGCGAAATTAGAGTGTCCACCCAGGCGTCACATTGATTGGAGCTAGAGCTGATAAATATGCTTGTTTGGATGGAGATTGTTTTATTTTTAAAAAGCAGTAGTGTGGATTTTGCCCAAGACTGCTGTGGAGTCATTTGACCTGGGGATGAATGCTGCTTGTACCCTGTGAAAGGGGCTTATATATGAGTGCTTGTTAGTTGTGAAATGCTTCATGGAGCTATGATAATGCACAACTGTAGTAGTACTAGTGTTGCTTTTGTTCAGCCTGCCTATTTATAGGAGCTTTTCAAAGTTGGTAGGACTCCGGAAGCTGTTGACCATGTCCGCATAGTTCGCACTCTGTCAAACCTTTCACCGTCCATTACTTAGTCTTCATGCAGTCACTCATCACACCCCTGAAAATGACTGACAGTTGTAACACTGGGGGTTGTGCTGTTTGACAAAGTGTAACATCTTGTTGTTCTCTATGTTCTTTATCCCCTCTTGCATGATGTCATATGGGGATTATGGCACAATAAACATTGACTTGTTTTCATATCTTTGCTGTATAGACAGCAAAATCTCTATAATCCAAACCCCATCACACCCGTAATGCGTGGAGATGTATGATGACACTTGAGCTGTCGACCCTCTTGTGTCCCTTTATCCTCTAGTGTCCAGGTAAATGACCTCATGGAGGAAATGGGTGATAATGCAAACAGATAAGGCTCCTGGTACCTGTTGACCACAGTCAGGACCTCCTAAAACAGGACCCTCTGACACAATGCTCCATCAGTGCCTGCCTCAATGACACCCACAAGGCATTTAGCCCTTATCTGCAATGGCCCCTGCTTAGCATTCACGCCATTCACGCGAACAATGCCACCTCTTCCCACTCACTGGATCTGTGACTGACAGTGGGTGTTGGTGCACTTGTGTCTGACTTCAGCCTCTATCTGACGCTGGACTGTTTATCCAGTCCAGATAACCCCACCAAGACACAATAAAGGGCGTGTGTCTTCCTCGCCACTTCCCATGTTGTTTGTGTAACTGGACTTTTATAATGGACCTCGCTCTCTATTTGGCAGGTTGGTTTCCTCCTCAGAAGGATCTGTATTAGCTGGGGGGAAGCTTAGGGCAAAAAAAAAAAAAGGCTGACTAATGATCACAGAGCCAGCTCACCACCCTCTGACTGACCAGCCAGCGAGGTGGAAATGCCCCCTTGGCGAGACGGTGAAAAGCAGGGAAACGGCAGATAAGACCATTGCATGCGATAAACAGCAGAATGAATAATAGCTGGGGTATAATGTAGCAGGAATGGATGGATTAGGCGTCTTTCTCGTTGAAGAAAAGAAATACTATTGGTTTAAAAGGTTCTAACATTGGCTTTTCATTGGAAGGCCTATCTAGAATGCAGCTTTTGAGTTATGTGTAATCTACTTTCAGTTTTCATCATGCAGCTCAGATCTCATATTTGACGAGGCTGATATCAGCACGGGATCTTGGGATCCCATGCCTCCATAATGGCTCCTGGGAAGCTGGGGCATTATAAAGCTTCTGTAATAAACCCCTGTGATCAGTATACCCCCCCCCTCGCCCACCACCACCCCAGTCTCTGCTCTTATTTATGAATGGCAGAATTTGACAAGGGGGCAGTTCAAGTGGGTAGCTGCCGATCACATGATACCAGCATTAAAGAGCCTAGCAAGGAATGCGGGCACCCCCCCCCCCCCACTCCAAAAAAAAAAAAACTTTGATGCCCCATACCCTCTCTGTCCCCTCCCCCCAAGCCCCCTCATATGCGCTGCGATGCTGAGGAGAGGAATGGGTGCTACAGTCGAAGGGTTGGTGGGGGGGGTGGGGGGCACAGATAGTGGCTGCGTTTGATCTGAAGGTCGCCAGCCCCTTGCTGGTGTTGAGAGATCCTTGGCGGACGAGGCTGGCTCTTATTTAATAACATGAAGGGGAAGCGGACCTTTCTCTCATAATTAGGCCTAATTACCCAGTAGGTGTGGACAGACGGCCCAAGAAGAGACAAACTGCCTTTATCCATGGACTTAGAGTCAGATTACCCCAGAGCTGTCTTATCTGTTACAGGGCCAACAGGAGCCTCAATCTTCCTCTGCTGCCTCTTCCCACTGGCTCCCATATCCAGCTCAGGTATATTAATCAGTCAATCTGATTTATTATGGCCTGTCCACCACACACAAGTTTAATAAGATCTAGCCAGTTACCCCGTTCTGTAATGTCTGTGGACATGTTTAATAAGAAAGTTCCCCCGACCTATTTGGATATTTATCTATTGCTCAATCACTTTATGGAAGCTTCTTAGGTTCATTAAAACTGCTTGGTGGAGACAATTTCATGTAACTAAGTTACTTGTCCTTGAGGGTATTTGACCAGAGCCAAGGTAGCTTTGCATTTACTCGAGATGTTTTCTTGTCAGACTTGAAAAGTGACCGGCTTGATTGTTTGCCCCTCTCTGTTAGCAAGGAACAATTTGAGGGTCCTTGCAAATAGATTTGAGTGACACCCTGCCACCGTCTTGTTTGTTTTCAGTGTCTGTCTCTCCCTTCCTGAGCAGCCTGCTTGTTTGTATTTGGGTTTGTGGGTGACTCACTTGCAGCCACCACAACAGACCTATTGTTGGGGGCAATTCAGACACTGGAAATGCTGACGCCTGGAAAAAAGAAGGAAAAGTCCACAGAGGGAGCAGTGGCAAGAGAAAAGTGGCCATTATATTAAAATTTCAGATACAAGTTTGGTTTTACAGTCCCCAAGTGACATCTACGTCACTGTCCACAACTTTTGTCTGTGATTGACAGTGAGCTGTGATTGTCATTGGAGAGTCCCTTTCAGCCACTGGCCTTGAGACAATGAAAACAGCCAGTTGGAGGCTGCCACTGTGTCCGTGACTCACAGCTCCATGCAGGCCTGCTGCAAGAGGACAATAAGGGACGCTTAATCCACCTGTTATCAGGGTGAGCCTCACTCTGTCACACTCTCACACAGGCACAGGACTCTGGCTCAGGAATGCAGTCTTACCCACCCATTCACAGGAGGAGCAGCTTAACTGATAGACCCTCACAAAAACTCTGTTGACAGTTTTTTGCCATTTTCTTCACACCACACAAAAACAAGTTTGTACAGTTGTAGGCTGAAGAGCTTCCTGTTGTCTTAGTTCATAGATATGAGTGATACCTAATGGTCAGTACATTATGCAAACGGCTATATGCTTTGAACGATGGCAAATATAAAGCAAATGGTTTTGGTCATATTTTCTATAGGGAGCATGGAAAAAGTGCTCCATTCTCCAAGCATGCAGTGTGTAAACTGATAGTAAAGCTGATGGGTCTGATGGGTTTCCTTGCAAGTCCATCAGACTGCAGTGTTGTGTCCTTAATTAGGCAGGCTGGTCAGGGGTCTCTGTTTCTCCGCTTCACAGATTCACATGGACAATTTAACCACTAACCTCCTGAGATGAGTTGCTCCTGAATGCCTCTGGCTCCAGTTTCAGCATCTGCTGATTGCAGGGAGCAAGGGTTATGATAAGTAAAAGTGGAGGACTGTGTGTGTGTGTGTGTGTGTGTGTGTGGGGTGTGTGGTGTGTGGTGTGTGTGTGTGTGTGTGTGGGGGGGGGGTCCACATAGAAGCTCACTAATTAACACACTATGTATTGTTTGTGGTGGTTTTACAGGGGTTTCTGTGCTGTGCTTATTCTTGGCTAGGGGCTTTAACTTCCTGGAGGCTCTTGCTAGTTGCCTGGCAACATCGCTGCATTGTGCAGAATAAACAAATTAGATTTAGAGGTACTGGTAGGTAGATTTTTAAACAGAGACAGGCTAGCTGTTTCTCTGTTTCCTCCTCACCTAACTCTCAAAGTTCCTTTGTGTTCATGTGAGCTACTTTCGTTCTGTAACCTTTAGTGGTGTGGTTTGGCTGTCTTTGGTCTTTTTGGAAAAGTCACATTTAGGATTTGTTCTGGCGGGTAGAAACTGTTGCATAACGGAAACAGGCATTGTAACTCATTTATTTCTTGTGCAATGCAGAGAACATATGAGAAATATCTCGTTTTTACTATTTTGCAGTTTGCACAATACATTTTTTTATGTTACATTATTTATGTATATACATATGATAGTAGAATAAGCCACTATAAGCATATATAAAGGCCCTCATGTCATACAGAGAAATAAATACTATCATAAATACTATCATTTACTGTGAAACTGCAAGATCCGCAAAAGATACCATGCTTTCTGGGTAATAACTGTTCTAATTTGAATACACTGTCAGTCACTTTTTGCATGAACAGGTTCAGGGCACCTGTGATTCTAAACATAATAAGCGTTGTAGAAAAGGGACTGATAGATGGATATGAGCTACCTGAAGTCACTTACATGTGATTGTGCTGCAATTTAATGTTGAGGAATCATTTCCTTGCAGCATACCTGTGGTCGGTTGGGTTTCCTCATCTGCCCGGCATACAAACGACATAAAAGCCTGACTGAATGCCTCTGGGACAACGGCTGTTGATCACAAGAGCAGTGAGAATCCTGGATCTCCGACTGTTTACTGTAATTAAGCTGTCAGGGGTTGTGATTTATGACGTATTGAGTAAGAGAGGTGTTATCATGTAGACTAGGAGCAGGAAGACGCAGCGAGAGAGAGAGAGAGAGAGAGAGAGAGAGAGAGATAGAGATAGAGAGCCACAGGGTTTGTAGCTACTAACAATAGAGAAAGTACAGACAGTCCATTAAACACAACTGTCTGCTGTGTGGAAGTGAAGGCCTTCAAGGCAAAATGGAGCTACTTTCTGACAGTCTCCTCTCAGTGTTTGTGCAAAAACAAAATAAGTTGATTTGGGATTTTAGGCTGCACTTTCATCTTATTGTATTCCCCTGAAAGAGTCCAATTAACCTGATTTGAATAGAAGATTTCTCATTTATGCTGAAAAGGCGGCACAGTATCGTTTAAAGTTTTTGTTGGCAAAGTACTGACTGGAGCTCAAACTGCAGTTGCCACTTAGCTCACTTTTTCTTGTTGTCTGTTTCAGTGGGTGTCGTGACATGTGCTCACAGCCTCCCTGCGTCCTTACATTGATTGCACGACCCAGGGATGTCTCGTCCTGCTCCGTCTCCCATCTACACCCTGAGGGGGGCTGGCGGGCCCCTCAACACCCTCCACTTTAGCTGCCATGGAGGGGACACTCCCCTCCTATTTTCTGGGTGAGTCATTTATCTCAACATTTATAATTTTGACTCTTCGTCCTCCCCGGTGAAGTTTTTTTTTTTCTTCCTCTCTTTGTTAGTAGTATTTTTCACACACAATTTAGTGCTTCATTTTGTCCATCATGGCTGCTATATTGCACGCAGCAGTAGATACCAACCAACCAATTAGAATGCACTTCAATTTTTAAAACATGTACAGAGTTTGGAGGCCAGCTGTTAAAGCACCACACACCAAAAGAGTTTGGACAAAAGGATGTTCATACAAACGTATGGGTGCAGAACACTGTTGACTATACTGTATGAATAATATAAACAGCCTTCATAAAGCATCCTGCTGGGTTTTGCAGGTCAGGGAAGGGTGCCATCCATATCTGGAACCTGAACACCAGGAGGCCTGAGAGGATTCTGGAGGGTCATTCTGGAAGCTCGGTCATCTGGGTCAGCACAGTGCAGGCTAGAGATACCCTCATCAGGTGAGGATGGCTGTTCTCTTGGTCTCCTAACTTTCTGATTACATACTCATCCTTCTCTTACTGTTGCTGTTAAATCATTTGTGAATGCAAAATATTATTTGTACCTTAGATGTTAAGTATGGAATTTAGGGTTTTCTGTTTAACTAAGCTTTTCAGTGACTAACCAACCTGTGGTGATTAAATAATTTAATAGTAAAATGTATTGTCACTCAGGTTTTTAAATATGCTAATAATACGATTATTAAATTAAAAAAATAAAAAAAGATTTTTGTTCCATTGGTGGAGCAGTCAGGGACGGGACATGCAGATCTGTCTGTGGGATCTGAGCCAAGGTCGCAGTGAGGTGGTGGACTCTGTGTGGACCGGCAGTGTTGGATTTTGCCAGTGCTCCATGCTGGAGACGAGCCCTGAAAACTACCTGCTGGCCTTTGCTGGACAACAGACAGAGGAGGTAAGGAATGTAAAGTCTAAATAGTATGCATGCTTTAACCCATTTATAAATTAGCGACGAGTCTATTTTGCAACCTGACTCTCACACAGTGCATGCTGGGATGTGCTCCAGCCCATTGCAACCTTGAAAATGATAACTGCATATAAAAAATGGATGCAGGAAAGGTCTCTTTTGAAGTTATTAAATTCCAGATAAGGACTCCACATAGCCAGTTTAAAACTGATCAATATGTATAAATGGCTCAATAATGATGCTTTTATGGTTTGTTTACCTTTCATTTATTATTAAGGAGGGTTTTGAGGGTTTTCTATTTTAGTGAGGAGAAATGAATGAGGAACCCTCCTGATCAAAGTGTCCACTGGCACATGTTCTATGTTTCTGTTTATTGGCAGGTGGGAGGTGGGATGGTTAATCGGTCTGACTTTAGTATAAAAAAATGCCAACCTGTATGAACCTGACCAGACTTGCTTGTTGCCAGTTTGCTGGATTGACTTTAAGCGTTCACACATATTTGTGGCTTTTAGTATCGTTTAGTAGGTTAGTGGAAAATTGGAGGTCCCACAGAAAGAGATGTTCCCTTACATCAAACCCCTGTCATCTTTTCCTGTTATCACACTGTGATCGTTTGCATGTGGTCTGATCCATAAATATGAAATGGCCTGAATTTAACCAGGTGACAAACATAATATTTTTAGCCGTGCGTCAATGAATGTGTCGTGAGTGAGTCAACGTGACATGGTGAGCATGCAGTTTGCAGCCAGGGAACTGTCAAACGGCAATCTAAACAGCATCATTAACAAACCAGACTTCATGTCATGAGTCAGCATGCACACTGCAAGAACAGGAACTTAATACCAGCCACCAGCTAAATGTCAGTTAATTTTGGCTGTGGCTAGTAACATGCCATTCAGTGTATCTGTTTGTCTAAAACAGCAATTAGGTCTGTGAGGGCCTAAGAAAGTGATTTTTATAAAGTAACTTCTGCTGTGGCTGATGAAAGAGTCAACGTGGCCATTCACAGTTTTAATATTTCAGGGTTAAAAAGAGAATTCCCAAACCTGAAGAGACTGCACAATGGAATGAGATCACAGTTCTGTCTGCACAGCATGTCTTATAGTTAATGCTCAACACCCACAAGCCTGTACGGTTTTGTGTGGAGTGAGGGAGGATGGGGGAGAGGGCAGACAGCATCTTTTATTGCCTCCAGATTCATGTTACTTGCTTCGCTGTGGAGGAGCCACACTTGAAAGGGACGGAGCGGTCACCTGATCCAGCCAAACGTGCCTCTGCTAACCCCAGTCCAGCAGGCCAGGCATCAGGGCGCCTGTGACTCCCAGCACCTCAATAATGCCATTGTCCCAACAGACACAGAAACACACACACACACACACACACACACCCACACCCATACAAGGTAGACCAAAACAGGCCACAGACGATTTTGTCATTCGGTCTCCCCACCCCATTCCACAGACATAAGTGGCCAAGACAATTTCTTATCACGTATCCGCAAATAAAACACCCTCATAAATGACTCCCCTCAAGAAACAATACATTTGCACTTTGCCACAAAACATGCACAATGGCTTGATTTAGTGCCACAGGCAATATGAAGACAGGTCAATATTTAGGTATGTAACCAAGAAAACGGAATAATTCCTTCTCAGCTATTTCAGGTGGTTTTACTGTTTACTGCTCACAGCGAGATTGCTGGCAGCAGATTACTGCTGTGGCAGAAACATTAATTAATAGTGTGGGTGTTTTATTTATGGGCAGTGTGATGCCACACAAGAACAGTGATCACCTGAGGCACAGTGAAGTCCTTAAAGGCCCTCTTTGTCAGGCACGCAGAGGTAAACTTGCAGGACAGATGTGGCCTTGCGCTAAAATACAGATCGCTTCCCTTAAAGGGCTGTTTAATCTGAGGCCTAATGAGGATGAATATGCGGATCATCAGTGCAGAGGAAGTCAAAGGAATGAGTTTTGGTAGTGATGTGGGTACACACATACAAAGGCACATGCTTTATCACTGGCTTCATTAGACTGTGTATTTTATCAGAATCAGTGCCAATGTGTGCAGGAAAACACCATTCATGTCACAGGGTCAGGCTTTAGCAGGATTTATTATAGACAGCGGGGCGGCTGCTCTGGACTGATGGATGGTACTGTACTGCTGGTTGGAGGCACTCTGATCTGCGGAGGTCCTGAACCACAATGACAGATTCAGGTTGCTGCTTTGTTATGTGAATGCAGAAGACAAACAAATCATGACTCGGCAGACAGCTTGTAGATAAATAAACGTACAACTGCAATTTACTGTGTAACTATAACTGGCCCACAATAATGAAAATGGCATCACAACAAAAATAATGAAAACCGATATATTAAAACATAAATACCTTATAGATATATTGGATAAATTCCTAAAACATGTGAAACAGAAATATGAAAGTCTGCCTGGCAGCTGCAGGTTGTGCTCTCAGAGCTTGGATGGGCAAATGACTCACAGTTTAGCCTAGAAATGTAGCCAGTGGGGAGAGTATGAGCAGTTTAACACCCAAAAATGCACAGAAATCAAGTGAGATGAGGCTGCAGGCTGAATACTACAAGGGAGCAACGCCTCATGGTTAACATACCTGCTTAATTTCATTGTCATTGTGAGCATGCTGGTGTTAGCATTCAGCCCAAAGCACCGCTGTGTCCAAGTACTGCATCACAGAACTGCTAGAATGTGAAGGTGAATAGGCCAGCTACTTCTGTGAGTTTTAATTGTCACGTGTTCTCTGCAGATCAAGATTATTGAGCTACTCAGTAAGACCCCAGTCTGCACCCTGGTACCTGATGCTAAGCTGGGGATGGTCATGTGTCTCAAACTGTGGCAGGTAAGCACCAGACGTTCCTATCACGTGTCATTTTAACAGAAAGTGTTGCAGTGCTTTTAACTTAACCCCCAGAAAAGTAGCAATTTGTCTCCATCTCAGGTTCAAGGAGTTCACCTTGGCAGCCATTATCAAAAGCAGGAGATTCTCTACCTTCTCTTTCCTCCTTGTTCTAAATGGTACTTTTTCACAGCTTACCTGCTTTATTCTGATTGGCCAGCCGCCCATTACAAGATGCAATAATAGAAAAGTCAACAAAAATATGAGAGATGTGGCACATGATTTACAGCCCAACATCTCGTTCTGGGCCATTTTTCCAAGCGTTTCCTCTCAGCTGGCAGCGAGTTCCAACGCTGTAATTAGAGCGTTTGGAAGGGCCGGGGGTTCACAGCCATATATCAGCCTGCAGCTGTGCATCCAATCTGATGCAAGCAGAAAGTAAGCTTTCTGTTTTGTAAATGCTGTCGAAAGTTTTATTTTCCAGCCATTAACGAGACCCTGTAATTATTTTCATGGTTAATTATTAACTCTTTGGGTTTGAGGCTTTAGGGGACAGAGTGGGGTTTCAGACTTATGCAAGACTGTGGATGGTTTGAACAAATTTTATGATCTGTTACAGTTTACAGGCAACAGAAATCAAAACACAGCTTATCATTTTAAAGCCAAAATGAGGCAAATTGTTGGCCTGTGCGCATTCAGTCCTGTATTCCTGTAATACTAATTAGAGTTACTTAAATAGCTACAAAAACCATAAAGGTGACATTGTGTTTGTGAACTTATTATAGAGACATGAAGGCAAGTTAGAGAGTCTCACAGTGCATGCTGACATTGTTTTTGTGTTATTCTTTGTCTCCCTTTGATTTCACTGTTACACCCACCTTTCATCATCTGATTTATGAACCAATGCTGGTTCAGTGTTGAGTGCCAGGAAACATAATGATCAATTATATCATTATAAATTATATAATATCATTGTAATACAGCACAGGCAGCTGTCTGACTTCAAAGCCGAAGGGCCCAGGTGATTCTAAATCATTTCAGGCTGATTCCTTTCAAGGCCTCGGCATGTTCATCTGTTACGCTGACTGAGCGACTCGAGAGGTCCAAGCAGTGGAAAAAGACTGAAACACCCAGTCCGACTGTCTGTCTGTCTGTCTGTCTGTCTGTCTGTCTGTCTGTCTGTCTGTCTCTGTGTGTGTGTGTGTGTGTGTGTGTGTGTGTGTGTGTGTGTGTGTGTGTGTGTGTTTTTGTGTGTGTGTGTGTGTGTGTTTTTGTGTGTGTGCGTGTGTTAACCCTCTTTCAAACACACAACTCTACCCACAGACAGAATGACAGAATGTCTGTCAGTCATAAGAAGAAAAAATGTTCATGTTGTCTTTCACATCAGATGCTCATATGCTACCCACTGTTTCCTTAACCTCTCACAGCAGGAGGCAACAGCTGACACCATCACCCCTCTCTCCACCCTGTCTCTCTCTATCACACACACTCACAAGGAAGAAGCCACTGACAATGATCTCCACTCTGTCTTCCCTCTCGCCATCCCTCCCTCTCTTCTTCCCACCGTTGAGACGAGAAGTGATTATCCTCCATTATTTCCAAGACAGACTCAGCAACAGATTTATTGTCGGGCCTTTAAGCCCTCTCTGCCGGAGTTTATGGAAAAGATTAAACGCAGTGTTAAACTGCACTTTCTTCTCAATTCAGCTTCCCTTCAGCAAAATCCCACCCAGCCCTGAGTTCCTACACTGGGATATGTCTTAAAGGTGACAGAACTATCTGGTTTCTCTGAATCTGCTTGGCTGTGAAGCGATGAACAATACGGGCGAACGTGGAGGAGGAAAGTGCCTCCACATGTGGCTTTGACGTGTGCAGGGATGTAGGGCTTGGCCAGGGGGACAGTATTGATGTATGATGTGCAAGGCTTTTAATGTGAACAGAGGCTGGCGGGGAAAAGGAAATGTTCCTATACAGATATCCATCACTCTCAGCTCATCACCTTGCTGCCTCGTGGCCATGACATCATAGTGGACCGGGACACAAACCGGAGGAAACGATTGGTTCCTTATGTTGAAGCAGTGCCTGCCTGAGGCCTGTGGCGGCCACATCAGCAAACAAGCTGTTGGTCTCTGAGTTGTTCATGGTTTTGGAAGGACTTACCACATAAGGAAATGACATGGAAATGTTTGCTAAATATACAATAACTTTGGAATTGTCACATACTTCTCTCTAATTGCATTTAGATTTTATTTATTTGTGTTTTTTATTGCATTAGTTTATTTGACAGCGATGGTGCTCATTAATCAACAGAGAAAATATTGTTAGTGAGCCAGAATTAGCCTAAAAGCCTAATATTCAGCTGTTGTCCTAGGCCAGATGTTAGAAGGGGACCCTTGAAATGAAATAATACGACATGTCTTTTAAAATTCATATATACAATGTAATGAATATACACTAAATAGTACAGCACACGTCCACCAATAAATACTGCCACAGTACAACACATGGCAGTTAGCTATAGTCCATAAAACAATATAAAAACATAAACCTTTGATCACTCACTAGGAGACTAGAAGTTGTCCAGAATGTGTGCCTCATGGAGGCCTCTACTACTTATTTTTTGGCCAAATTTAAGCCAATACATAACAGGCTATATATGAGCATTTACCTTTCAGAAGGGCTGTAAATGAATACAGGGCTACTGTAACAGCAGTAGAGTACTTATATTAAGAGGTGATGATTTGACTCAATTAAAATAATTTTGGCGTGCAAAGCATGATAAGTGACATCTTTTTCCTTTCTTCGGCTGCTCAGAAGACATTGTGCAATGCACAGACTGGCTGGATTTAACAAATACAAATTATATCTTTGCAGCTGCATTTTTGACAAATTTCAAGTCAAATAGTGGCTTTCTGTAATTAATCAAGATGTCTGGTCATGCACACTGAAAACTAGTGAAATCTAATATGTTGCATATGTAAAATGTTGCAGTAATATTTTAGTTTAATGCTGTTCAAGGGCTCCTAATGAACAACAGATTTAGAAGCATCTAGGGCATACAGACTATTGACTGACTGACTGAGAGATAATGAAATTAAGAAGGAGGTTTTGTATAAGTTAGAAATTGCAAGAAATAGAGCTGTAACGATTAGGCAATTAAGCACTGTAACTTTTTTGATGATAAATTCACCCTTTAGGCCATTTTTCAAAGATAGGATGCCAAACATCACCTAGTTCCATCTTCTCAACTGTGAGGATCTGCGGCTTTTCTTAGTTTTATTTATTCCTTTGCATTGCACTGCTGGTCTGACAAAACAAACTATTGATAGATGAGACCTTGGTCTCTGGAAAATTGTGATCAATTTTTCCTGACATTTTATCGACCAAACTGTTAATTATTCACAGAATAATAAGCAAATTAATGAACATAATCTTTACTTTTAGCCCTAGCAGATAAACTTTAATATGGAGATCTATTTTTAGCTTGCAGCCGGAAAACTCTGAGGACCTACACCTGATTTAGATGTAATGGTTCAGCAAATATAGTCATGTTGTCTCTATTTGATAGAGCTCGTTTAGTGCCACCATAGGGTCTATCTTTGTACTTTCTGTAGCCTCAGCAGCAGGGGTATTTTAAGCCTTTTTAGTCTCCAATATTTTAGAATACGAGAACTAAGAAAACAAAAACTTGATGTGCAAAAGTTTTGGTGGTCTGAACCGACAGCCTGAGCGACCAACAGACTGGACACAGATCTATAAAAAAGGGCCTTCAGTTTGCAGGCTTGAGTGGTTGCATTGTTAATTATAATAATAATGATTTTATGTTGTTTACACATTACTGCCCTTCTTAAGTACAGAAAGAAACAGCACACAGGTTGAGGCCTAACTAGTAGGCATTCTAGAGAAGATCCAGCTTCACTACTCACTCCTCTTCAACCAGCTTCCATCCATCTGTCTTTCCAGCTGTTCTGTAGTGATGAATCTGCTCCCAGAGCCCCAGCCCCACTCCAGCAGAGAGCCCTCTTGTAGAAAGGCCTGTGGAGGATATAATGAATTAGGTGTCTACCCAGGGTTCCCCGACCTCCGACCCATGACATCATCAATCAAGGAGGTCCTACACTTAAGTGAAACGGTGGGCCCCAAGCCTGGAACGCTTAGCCTGGGCCCTGCCGGCAAGCAGGGGCCACTGATTTTCACTTGTTTTTATTTGTTTTCATAATCCCTTCGTGTTCGTCCTCGCTGATGTGTTTGGAAGGAATACAAGACTCTGTCTATAATTTGTTTAAAGCTGGAAGAAGAGAAATATAGAGCGTTAAGTGAGAAGAGGACTTGAAGATGGATGAAAAAATGGCAGACATGGCCCCCTCGCACATATGGAAAAAATTTCTTTTCCTCCTTGCTTCTGCAGGGCACAGTGCTTTTGCTGGAGGCCTGATGGTATTTTTAAAGCAAAGGCACAAGTCAGGATGAAGTGTATATCTGTGCTGTGTGTTCATAGGTCATTGAAATGTATTGTGTTGTTCCTCCGGCCAGTGTGAAGTCTTGGAAAAGTTTAAATCGTTGTTTGGATAACACCTCAGGCATATGTGGAAGTGAAGGGGAGTGTTCTATTTAGCAAGAGGCATGGCACTTTATATGTCTGCACAGAGGAATTGTGGGATTTTGGGGAAAGCAGGATGGAGGTTAGATGTCACCAATCGTCCCCCCCCTCCTCCCTCTCTTCTCGCTCTCCTTCAGGTCCTTCCTTTCTTTCCTCTGCCATTTCGAAAATATATGAAGTCCTCGGTTTTTATCAGTTCACCTTTATGTTCTCGTTCACAGAGGGGATTTACAAGCTCACTGTATCCCTCCACACAACCTCTGCACACGTTTGAGCCTACACACTCATATAAAAGAAGCTAGCTAGCACAGAGAGTTTATCTGTGACTCCCAACCGAGGGAAGGCTCCACTTTATCGTTCTTTTTAAATGTTATACTGCTTATTTTTCTCTTCTTATATGCATAGAAATGCATTCTGTGCTTGGGGCAGGTTGCTCTTTATATACCACAAAACCTAAACTGGCACTATTTAAGGTAGTGCCGGTTTAGGTTTTGCATCTGATGCCTGTTTGTGCACCTGGTTTCATTTCATTTCACGCGATTTGAAAGATTTACTGTGATGGTTTCACCAGTTGTAAACACTGGGGCTGGATCTGTAATGTCCTAGGGTGAAATGGGGATGAAATAAGACTATAGGGTGTTTTTTGTTTATTACTTTGTTTTAGTATGTGAGCATTAGTTGATTTATTGATTAGTTCAAATGAATGCATATTAATTAATTTCATATTAATAATTAACTTCCCTTTCTCTGTTTTGTATAATTATATAGTGATTTGGGGGAGGTTTCAGCAGTTGTTCAGACACAAGATCTGGGAAACTATAATGGGCATTTTTCTGACATTTGATAGACTAAATGATAAAAAAAATTCCTATATCAATGTTATAATATATAACATTTGAAGTAATTTCGTTTTATTTGTTCAAATAAACAATAAATATTTCCCTGTGTTTAAATGTAGAATTTGCAGTAATATTACTGATAAGCTATAGTTTAAACAATGCACTGCAAATGTAAGACAGCTAATTTTATCATTATAGTGTAAAAGGTGTCATTAAAATGTTGTGTATAACTCAACAATAGAAGTAGAGCATACTTAGTCAAAAAGAAAGATGAATAATATAAAATATACCACATATACAAAAAAAAAACTAAATAACAGTCAAAACTAATGTGGTTAATGAATTTGAGTTTTAAGTTATTTAAATAAACCATCCTTTTTAGAGGATAAATAGGTTTTGCCGTCTGATAGCTCAGTATATGTATCAGGGCCGGCAGCGAGGCTTGTGGCTCAGTAATATAGATGAGGAGCAAAGTGAAGAGTGGTGTAATGGAGTGCTGGAAAGAGAGAGCAGCAGGCTGACGAATGGAGCCCACGGCGTCTTTCCGAGTGTCAGCGGGAGCTTCCAGAATGATAACCTCTGCTCCGCTCAGCTTCCAGCATCACGTAGTGGTTTCTGTGGTTTTTACTACACAGCTCTCATCTGATGTCTTACCGCACACTCCTCTTTGTGTTCTCTCTTCCCACCTCTCTGTCCCTCCTCCTTTCTCTTATCGTTCCTCCCTCACTTCCAGCCAGACTCGGGGCCCGGACCTCTCCTGTTGGCTGGATACGAGGACGGTTCCCTGTTGCTGTGGGATGTAACCCAGAGGTCCAAGCTGAGCCAAGCCAAAGCCCACCCTGAGCCTGTCATGTGCCTGACCTTTGACACCGAGCGTCTGAGGGGCATATCGGGCTCTTCTGAGAAGAAACTCTCCTCCTGGATGCTGGACAGACAGAACAACCTGCAGGTCAGCAGAGGACAGGCTTAGAGTGGATAATGTTGTCTAATCCAGTGGTTCCAAACTTTCTGTGTCTGATTAACACCCACAGCTCTGTCCGTGGTGTTCACCAATGTACCCCTCCATCGATACCACCCAACATGTTCCAAATTAGAATTGATTTTAAACTGGTTGTTATTTAACACCATCAGCTGGACATTTAAACCATTTATTTATCTACTCATTTCCACCATTTATCCATTATTTTGATCTTTTCACCATTTTTAACGCTTTAAGCTGACATTTTAATTATTTATCTATAGTTACAGCTATCTGTTTATTAATTACTTTTAGCAGTATATTTTTATCCATTACTAATAGCCTTTTCACAATTTTTGCAATACGTTTTAACTGTTTATGTGGTGCTTGTAGCAAACTGTATCAACCATTTATCCATTAGATAACTATTGAAACAGTAAATCCATTACATTTACCTAACTATTTAAATTGCATATCCATTACTTGAGCTAACAGTTTAGACCACTGAGCTTGTTTGCTAGCTACTTTTCGTGCAATTCAATTGCAACATGTAGTGTTCAGATGTTACTCAATGTGTGGATATTTTTTTTTTATCAAATCATAATACTTTAGTTGTAGTTATTATGGTTGTGCAATTGTACACACTTTTCCAGGCCCATCTTGGCAACTGCAGAAATATCTTCTGGGGTAAACTACACCAAATTAGGTAATCATTATAATGTACAACTCCCCGCCTACTAACTAATTGTTGCACAAGAGAGTCAGCTGAATGCCATAAAATATTAGAGAAAGCTAATGGTGGAGGTGGGAGGAGAGGAGCATTCCCTTTCTCTAGGCTCTCTTGGAAAACATCAGGGGCCAAAGAGGAAGAGGCTCAGCAGGGCTTCGGGGGCCATAAATCAGCTGCTGGTTACACAGCGTTGGCAGGGCCAGGGGCCAAGGGCCGGGCTGAGGCTGTCACTCCAGACTCAAACCACCTACACATACACACACACACACACACACACACACACACACACACACACACACACACACACACACCCAGACATATAGTCACACATTACGCTTGAATAACATATAGACGCATCACAAAATGTAATTTTACTTTTTATTGTATAGTAATTAATAGAAAAATGTAGCAGTTAAAAAAAGCAACAAATATAACATAACATTGCTGACACCAGGATACTATGGAGATGCATACTTACCTTGTACCTTACAGTACATACAGGTTCTCACACACACATAAATACTTTGGAGTGGATGCACTAAAGCCCATACCAGAGCATCCTCTGCCACACCAAAAGAGATCACATCAGCTTTGTACCATAATTCATTTTGCATAACAGCCAATGCTTCAGAGACTTAACGCCTCATTTGAAGCTCTATTTTCTCTTGATTTCATGAGCAAAAGGGAATGCTCCCATTTTGCAGCCAACCCCCATGAATCAGAGCAGAAAGGAACCTGAGGCTGATATAGTACACTCCGGCACAGTGAAGGGGTATTATTCTTTCCGAGGCTTTTTACAAATGAATGCTTGAATTAGAAATATTTGCAAAGCCCCATTTTTTTCACCCTGAAAATGCGTCTAGAAAAACACTACGAAGGATTTGATTCAATATACCAAAAACAGGAGGAGAGTGGTTATTTGGTTTATTTTGCTCAAGCAACAAAATATTGATTCAGCATGTAATCCAGGATGAGGATGACAGGAAAAAAGCACAAGGAGAGGGAAAAGATCCAACAGGGGCTTTTAAATTATCCTGAAGTGCAGCTCAGTGTGACGTCCAGACAGCTATCCTCAGTTCTTCCCACAAAAGTATTTTTGTGTGGCAGCAGTAAGGGGGCGGGAGGACCTGCTGGGTGGCGGACCCAGGCCCCGGGTCCTGACGGACGACCCGTGAGAGGTAATAAAAATATCAAAACCTCGGAGGCCCCTTAACTAAACAAAAAACACATCTGCAGTAAAGGGAACAGTAGTTCACAGTGGGAGGCTGCAATAAAGGCTGAGGAGGCTATAAGTGCCACAGCATCCCACTTCCCACAAATTACCCTTGCGATACAGTCCAGTGTAGTGGAACTGGCTGGCAAGGAAGATAGATGCTTTTTGTGAAATGGAGGGGAAACTGGATGTGACACAACACAGTGCAGTTATGATTTAGTGAAGCTGAAAGGCTGTGAAGTGAGCTTATCAAGCCCAGATAAAGACAGATAGCCTCAGGAATGGAGGTTAATGTATTACACATGGCTCCCAGAGGCCTTTATCTCCTATTTGACCTGGCTGGCCTGATATCTTTTCATAGCAATGAGGCATCATTTTCAGCCTGTTTTCTCCTTTTCTTCTAGCGTACATTTCTGTGAATGTTGTCAGGGTGAGACTATGAGGGCGTGGCTGTTGGGGCTTACAAGCTGTTAAGCCAGATGGACGTATATTTAGGCGGACACTCAAATGCATTGACAAGTGCAGTGACGGGTTCCTCCAGGACAAAGAGAAAGACAGAGGTCGCAGACTGGAAAAAAAAGAAAGCGAGTATAGACAGAGGAAGATTAGCAGTGTAAATCAAGCATGGCTGACAGCAAGCTATTTCTGAGGCTGATGACAAGTTCTCTGCAGGTGGAACTCCTGCCTCTCATCTTCACTACTTCATCTACATGGTGCCTTCTGTGAATGCTTGCACCCGTTCAGCCAGACCTGACCTGAGTTATAGGTCAGGTCATATCACACCCAAGCTCAGTCTGCCATTGGACAGATGTATGCATGAGCTGCTGTCATAAAAATGATTGCCCTCCCCATCCTCTTCTCTCTTTTCTGAATGGGTCTGCTCACCTGTTTGACACATCCATCTCCTGTCAGCCGGAGCCAAGCTCTGACAGGCAAGGTGACAAAAGGCTGTAATCTCCCCGCTGCTGAGTGTGATTCAGGGACAGGGTGTGTCAGAAATACCTGCGAAAAGCCTCCCAGCCGCTAGGCTCGAGTGAGTGAGCGATGATGGGAAGTTTCAGTAGACGAGCGTGAACGCCAAGATCCGTGCCAAGACTGAGGGGAGAGACGGGGCGAAAAGTGGAGCAAGGCTTGAGTGAGATCTGCCAAGTGGACGCTCCTTTTGAACGTCTCCTCCGTCGGTGAGACGCTACAAAAGAGGACCCTGAAGTGCGAGTTTGTGTTGGATCTGTCGTAGGCCGCAAAAGTCTAGTGGGCCCAGCTGCTGAGCAGAGCTGGTAGCCTCCTGACAGCTGAGAAATCTGGCATTGATACAGCAAACCTGCTGTGTGTGTGTGTGTGTGTGTGTGTGTGTGTGTGTGTGTGTGTGTGTGTGTGTGTGTGTGTGTGTGTGTGTGTGTGTGTGTGTGTGTGTGTGTGTGTGTGTGTGCTGTAACACAGGCAAGGAAGGAGTGTTCAAACAAAGAAATGATGAAGCCCAAAGAGGAGTTCTGTCTCTGATGAGATAGTAAGGAAGCAAGGAGAAGAAAAATGAGGCGTCAAATAAAAGGAGCCAAGACTCCCCAGTTAGAGCTAATGGATTTCATTACAGATTGAGACCTGGTTAATGGCTGCGCTGGAAGCCAGCAGCACTTTCTTGGTATTCATTCAGCAGTGCTGTGACTCTGCAGCAAGAACAGCATTGCTGCTGCTAGAGAACATGGAATAAAAATTACAGCACAATTTAGAGAATTTCCTTTTTAAGAACAAACAGAGTTATCCTAATATTGAGAAATAACATTGTCAAGGGCTAATTGTCTTTTTTATTATGCATTAATTTTCCCACTGTTTTCTCAATGATAATGGATAAGTAATTTAGTCTATAAAATCATCATGTTTTCCCAGTGCAAGGGGACAACATCAGATTGACTTGCCTTACTGACAGTCTTAAATCCAAAGATAATCAATTTATGATAATAGAAGATTGTTACCACTATCATGTCTGTCTGGTGAAGATGGTTAGCTTAGACTGGTAATGGGGAAATGGGTAGCCTGACGTCAAAGTATTACACTAGAAATTGATTTTAAATTACTTAAATGATTAATCGGTTATTAAAATTATTGGCGACTAATTTTCTGATGAATAATTCATTTAAATCATTTTGTTATTATTATATTATATCCAAAAATCTGTTCATGTGCTGCAGTGTAAAGCAAACATGGGCAGATGCTAGTGTAAATTAATAAAACTAATACTTTCAGGCAGCAACTTAGCTCAGGAACTAGCACATGAGCACCATTCATTTTAAGTTATAGCACGGGCTGACCTTTTTTCTCACCGCTTTTCTTTCTACTTTCTCAGACTGTAGAAAGTAAAAACAATTAGCCAGCCAGCCACGCTGAATGACCATTACCGCACCATTAGCCATTTACTACTTACAATTGACCCTTTAATGAAACAAATGCCTTTTTCCTGACACAAACTATGGGAAGCAAAACAAACAAAAACAGACACTTAAACCCATCATTATCAGGCCTCTAATGCAAACCAGATGGAGAGAGGCAGGGGCATACCAACTTCTTGAGGTAATAACAAAGCTCCAAACAATCTTTCACCCCCTGGGTTTCTTTGTATCAGTGTATCTGGCTTGTTTGGTCTAACCAACTACACTCCGTGGTACCAGCGATGATGGTTTGATTAACAAAGAAATAAAAAGAAATCACATCACTGCCTGTTCTGAACTTAGCTTTCTCGCTCTGTTTTGATCAATGACATTCCTCCCTGCTCCCTCTCTCCCTTGCATTCCACTTTATCCACTTGGGCTATGAGTACCTGGCTTATATCTTCCACATGCAGCTTGTGGATGGTTCCTGCCCGGAACAGGAGCATGCAGATAAATTCTCCACCGTCTCCTCCCAACCAAAGGCCATTAGTCTCCCTAGACACAACTTATGAAGTCAATTTTACGCTGTCCAGTTTGATTTCAGCTCCCATATCCAGATGTTTGTGTCCCATCTGCAGGTCCAGCAGAGATCCCTAGCTTGCAGGAAGAGCACGTTCGCTCCCCAGGAATGCCCACCACAGCAAGCCCTTCAGATAGTGATCTTAGCCACCATTCATTATAATATGTCAGAATGTTGCCCCTTTAGAGAGATTGATACAGTCCGTGGGACTCTGTAGATCACAGGGAGAGGGAGCTGTGGCTAATCTTAAGCAGGCAGACGTTACAACAGTGTATTTATCGGGTCCCTTCTCTCGCTGACCAGACCTTTCAGTGCGAATGTAATTCATCAGAGGCGTTTAAAGCAACAAGGCCTCTGCAAACAAGTATTTCAGCGAGATGGTCTCTGTTGCAAACTGTGACAAAGGTAACTCAAGCCCAGTCGTGCTTCCAGAATAGGCCTCCCTAACTCCAAACCAAATAGTGGGACGCAGAGAGATTTGCTCACAGCCCTCGTGCCATAATGTTTTATGGCCGATGACTGAGTCCCAAGAGTCTACAGCCAGGTTCAACAGACATCCAACCTCACACTTGGACCTCAGTCATCAGATCAGCTGATAGTCTCTCCCCTTCGGTGTTTGTGTTGGCCTCAGTTTCCTAGACGGCAGTGATTAATCGTCTTACTGACCTAATTAGTTTGTCTGATTATTTTTGTCTTCTTATTTGCATGAACAATAAATTAGTTTGGTTTTAAATTTCTCAGACACCACAAAGAAACTACTACTCAGCGTCCTTGGCCTTTGCATATGGAAGTGTTTGTAATACATGTAAAAGTACATGGTTCTAACCCGCAAACACCTGCTAAAATCCTTTTCCTCTTTGTGGTCTTACAGCTCCAGGACTGTGTGACGCTGGTCAACCCTGGGGTTTCCCAGCTGTGTATCAGGGGGGACGGTAAGCTTCTGGCGTCGGCTGGCTGGGACCATCGGGTGCGGGTATTTGGGTGGAAGAAGCTGCGACCGCTGGCTGTGCTTCAGTACCACACTGACATGGTGCAAAGCGTTGCCTTCTCTGACCACCAGGACCCCAGACAAAGACTGCTGGCTGGTGGGTCCAAGGACCAGCGGATAAGCCTGTGGTCAATATACAACGAGGGAGCTGACACTGGCTGAGCCTTTTGAGCTTTGGGAGGATATATGGACTTTTAATCAATACTGTCTTAACCCTCAATTGCAATGATGGTGGTGTGACCCAAAATGGTGTCAGTGGCCAAAAATTAGACAATAGTCCAGATCAATGGCTCAATATCTAGATATATGGACTATTATACCTGTCTCTTGATATCAAGGTCTTGGATTAATGTCGCCATCTGGCAGCAAGCGATATTGAAGCATGCATAAATAACAATGGCTTAATAAATGTTTTGTTATTATTTCACCTGAGCTATAAAGATACAGTAGTAAAATAATAGAAATACATTTATGTGACACACTTCAAGTTGTTTGCATTCATAAAAACAGTAGCATCCACAAGGAAGCTGAGCTTGACTAGTGACTAACCTGGTGAATAAAGCGCCTGTTGTCCATATCGGTATGAGTTCAAAATCATCCGACACGACGAGCCACCCCTTTTCTTTATTTTTAATAGCTAATGTGCCTCACATTACGGTAAACAATGCATCCTGCTGCAGGATTCCTGAGAATAGACACTGGTCAAATATGCTGTGCAGCATAATATCCTGAATAAGAACTGGTGTTTGAAATCAATCATAGCTGATTATATTTAGTTCTTATATAAACTAAAATTACAGGAATTACTGCAATTATTTTACATATTGTACATTTTCTTTAATAAGACTTTTTCATGTAGCAGTCATGAGAGTATAGATCTCTGCCCACCAGTATGACTGCTGTTGGAGACTGTGACATCAACTGTAGGACAATAATGAGTGTGCAATTAATGTGAAGATCATAAAACATAAAGTTAAGACAGAGGCCTCATTATCACAACATAATTCAGTATTTCCAGTGTGTAAACAAATATGTACACCTTCAAATATTTAGACATAGTCCATCTTAAAATGTGAGGCCAGGTAAAATATCTGCTATATTTGAAATAGTTCATTAGGACTTTTGTAGCCCTCTGTTTGCTAAAGCCTTTTGTGAGGCTCTGTGCAGCTATGTGATTGTGTTGACTTATCTGATGGGAGTTTTGCTCCAGTGAATTTGAATTTGAGGTATACGACGCACCTGAGCAGCTATGTAATCTTGTGTTGTTATTCTAGCAGTTCTTGGCTTAACACACAGGCCCTCCAGCCTGACCTGAGCAGTATTTGTCAAACAAGGTTAATCACAGCAGGGGCATAAAGAACAGAGAGCTGTTGGTTTAGTGGAGGTGCTGATCTGCAGATGCTCTCCTTGGTCCAGGCTCTCCTTGATCTGTTTAGAAGCTGATTTTGTTTTTCTTAAGTATTAACTCTTAGAAAATCAAAAAGATCAGAAAGAATGAGGAACTATACATTAACTGCTAAAGAATTTCAAATAAGTAGTTAAGTAAATAATAAAACCATTGTTAACTCCTGCATTTACTCCATACGTAATGCTAAATACAGATGTCTTTTTTAAGAAACTGACATTTGTCATGAACAAGGCCAAGGGTCTTGTTGTGAAAGTCCCAGGGAAGATAGAGAGGTGTTGTTTTTCTGTCCACTGTCTCTAATAATATTTCTGTGTCAATGAGCAGCATGGGAGCTTGTGTGTTACAACACCGTGCCGAGAGGCCGGGGGCCGGGGCTTCAAACGTTAGACATTCTGCTTCATAAAGGCTTTGTCTCCTGGGATGACCCCAAGTTGAGAAGCTCATCATGCCGTACAGGAAAGGCCTGAGAAATCAAAGGGCCAGACTAGCATAATGGCCACGAATCATTAGCAAACAGAGGAAAGACAAGGTCATTCGCTAGACAAGCTGCCTTGCTGTGTCGCTACTGGAAAAAGAGTCTGTAACTGCAGGTTTTGTTCGTTTTCTTGCTTATATTCAAATGTATTTTTTAGATGTTTGTACTTGTTAAAAACCCTCTGATGTAATTTTAAAAAAATACATGGAATAAAACCTTTTTTTTTCACTTCTTTTTTTCAAGTGCCTGGTTTTAATGACATGTTTTCCATGTTCCCCGCAGAGCTCCAGCTATACCTTTTGTCCCTGACCCCGTTGGTGACATGTTGCATTCATAACAGCTTCCTAACTCTCCTGTTGGCTTTGAACAAACACTAGAGGTGGCGTGGGCCAGCTTCCGTCCGTTCTCTGATAAATCAAATGCTGGGTCCATTGGTGCAGATGTCTGCTGAATGGAGCAGGCGGCAGCCCACCAGCTTTAGAAGTGCCTGGCAGGGTGGCGGTGGACCTCATAAATCACTTCATAATGGATCATTTAGGAAGTCAATAAATGGACAGGGAGGCAGGCTGCACAATAGGCCCTGTGCTTCACTTATCACCTAACGTGTGTCTTCCTTGGCCTTGAGGGTCAGGGGTCAGCCTGGCTTTGGGACAGGACATAATCCAGTGGGTTAGAACAGGACGTAATCCATTGGGTTGTGTGAATGTGTGTGTGTATGGTTGATACTGTCGTTCTCTGGGCCTGTGGGTGTATTCGTGAACATGTAAGACGCCACACTGACCTTGATTATTTAGAAAACATAAATGGTGAAAGAAAAAGGATTTGAAGAAAATAATCCCCTCTGTGTAAGCCAAAACCAGCATTTTGCCTCACAGTTAAGTTGGTTTTATTTATTTTTTCAAATGTGACTTAATACGAATGTATCAAGGCTCTCGCCCAGTTGTGATGATGTGTTTTGATGTTCCGCATAAAATGTCCGTCAGCAACCTCATGCGCACCATAAACCGTAGCACCTTTTGTATTAGTGGAGAGGCCATGGGGGGGGGAAATGTGAAACACGTGTTCTGTTGTTTAGGTGGAGGACTCTGGTTGGTTTACCTGGCTTGTTTTTAATAACTGTCCCCAGACAGGGCAGGCAGGCGAGGCTCAGCAGCAGAAATGTACACAGAGGTGATGGGAACGAATCGAGGCCCCGATAGTCCTGTCACAACAGATGTTCCAGATGCAGCTGAGTGTCAAATGATGCCTCAGGTTGCATTATCATCAATCCTCTACCTCTTCATACTTCAATGGCAAGTCCTTGGCACCATGTCTCCTGGAGTCTGACATCTGGGCACATGTAGTGTGCCGCAATACAACTGGGCCTAAGCAGGTTGCTCTTTTCCTCTGTGTGAAATGAAGGATACATTGAAATGTGCTTGAAAATGGCAGAGGCCTGTTGAAAGCATCTTGGAGCTTATTCGGGTGCATATGTAGAAATGAAATGTGGAAAATGTTTTCTATTACAGGCCTATACTGACTGTAGTAATTGATATTGAGATGCAATTCATTATAATTCCTCCAGTAGGCGCAATTTCTCTGATTTGCCAGTTGGAATAAAATCGTTTATTTGAATTTAGTTTGCAAGGATTTCAAATATCTATAATCTCAGCCTTTTAAACTGTATTTTTATCTTAATTCAGTTAAAAAAAAAAAAAAAAAAAGCTTCTAGAAGGTGCTAAAGACTAAAAATAGTCTATTTACAGGTCCCATTAAAATGTAGGGCAGGGTTATAAAATGAGGGCAGCCTCAGGCTTCAATGTCAAGTCTCCCCACACTGATGCACCAGGGAAACCATTTATTAAGAGCACAACATATGAAGAACATTTTCATTGCTGGATATGGTTTGGTACAAACGTGTTAATAGTGTGGGTTAGACAGAGGGCTGCTTCTTTATTGCAGTGGTGAGATTGAACTAATTTACTCAAGTACGGTACTTAACTACAAAACCTGAGGTATTTATGGTTTACTTACTTAAGCATTTACATTTCATGCTACTTTATAATTCACCGCACTACAAGTCAAAGGCATTTACTTTACAGATTAAGATTTCACATGCAAGATGCTCATAAAATATAATTCAGTATATTAAATGAAACTACCCAGCAGTAAGCTATATAAAGTTCTTAGAGTTAAGCCCACCGTTACAAACTACAACAGCAAAATGCTGCTTAATGTGATAATAATCCACTTAGAATAATACTTCCTGTTATTACTTTTTTTTGTGATCATGTAGCCTACTTAAGTTGTATTTAAATACTTCATCCAACCCTGCTTTATTGTTAGCTCACTGTGCTAACAGTACATTCACTTAATGAAGGCCAGTTGGCCCCTACAGCCTTACACTGGGTCTTTAGACTGGGTCCTCAGCAGTCCTTGGGTACTGGAAGCCCCAGGTCTGGATGTAATGGAGGGTATTAGTGTACCCTTTTAGCAGAATAAGTTTGGATAAAGTATCTTGGTGGAATATATGAGGATTATTTACTATTAACAGGGAGGAACTTACTTATTCAATTATTTCCCCCCTTATTGCGTTCACTGACATGGTCACAGTTATGGACGTGTTTCCTCTGTGTCGTGAAACCTATAATTAGTCCGAATATCGCCTTTTGACCCTTCTTCCCCCCTGTATAACCCCCCCCCCACGAGCAGCGGCGCTTCGTGGTGCTGCCCGGCTTCCAGCACCTGCAGGCCACCGTCGGTGCGCAGCGGGCGGCTTCCTGAGCAGACTGCACAGGGACATCTCAGGTTGTTTGGGCTTTATGTGGGAAAATATAATATTTTTGGAAATATTTAAATTAGTTCTAGTCGGTATTTGGCTTCATTATGACTGACGTGATTTTTTAAAAATGTATTTTAATAAAACTAACTAAAACTAATAATACCAATAGCCTATTAAAATAGCAAACCAGGAAATAAAATATATAATGTAATATGAATCCCTCTTAACTTTATTGTCGAATATCACGTTTTTCATGAGGCTAAGTAGTTAGCATAAACATTTCAAGCTAGCTTAAAATGAATTGTGTGAACTGTTACGACCTCATTGTGCATATTGGAGTCATAATAAAGTAAATAGTGTCACAGCCTTAGTCACAGCCCAAACAACCCCAAAATGGTACAACCAATTAGTCGGCGTTTAAATGTGTGGAAACATTATTTAACCTTTGACACCTTTACAAGCCATTAAACAGTCAGAGGTCAGGCGCCCTCGGGCGTCCTCCTCCTTTCCCGCTGCTCTCCGCTCAATGGCAGCTGGCTTCAAGGAGGAAAAATACACTATTGAAATGAATCATTAGGGTACGTTTCCCTTTGTATCGTGACAGGCACAAATCCCAAAGCAGACTTCTTTTTTCCCCATTGAGATTAACCTTGACAACAAAGCATTCGTAATAGGACTTCAAATAGCGGATGGAAATGGCTGCACAGATAGGAGGGTGACATTCTTTAAATATCACTCAACTGTCCCATTAAATATGAGCAATGATATCCCTTTGTGGAGAGGGGAAATGTAAATGACAGGGGTTCTTGTTTTCTGGGAAGTAAATCCATCAGAACACACATTTCAGAATTTAGATAAATAAAATACATACATTTTTACCAAATGATTTTTCGCAATAGTATGATTAATATATTAAATGTCCAATAAGCCATATAATAGTTAATCAATTAAAATTATTAATATCATGTTATGGTTTTAAGCGCCTATCTTTAAAAAAAAATGACTTGTTGCTACAGATTTGATTCATTAACCAGTAAAGACTTTAACAGAAAGTTGCAGTCTGTAATGTGACCACAGCTACTCAACTGCACACATGGTTTACCTAAACTAAAAGAGGGAAGTGTGTGTAGGAAGTATGGTCAATGAGTCCCGCATTCGTGTGTGTGTGTGTGTATGCTTTTTTTCAGGGAACCAGGTGCAGATTTCAACATTTGAACTATAGTGCAGTCTAATGTTTAGACAGCCTCCAAATCCTGACTACCAATGACTGCAGGAACAGCGGACACCTCAGCCCAATTCAACAGGGAAAATCCGGTCGGAGAAACCTGAACAATGCTATCAGTTAGGTACGTTTTTTTTTTTAACCCTCCCCCCTCAGTAGTGCAACAGCAGACAGAGCTTTGAATGGAAGATCTGCTCAAAGACAGTTTTTTTTATGAATTACAAGAATTTAATATTTATTTTACAGATACAGAACAGTCATTCTGCTTCATTTATTTACTTTGAATTGCTGCAAGTCAGTGCCATGGTACAAGCTTCTCAGAGCGGCTCAAGATGTTCAGAACGTTTCAAAATCAAATCTCTTATTTTTTTTCCTCAAACAAAAACATTTCGATGTGTTTCGACACCCTCTCTGATGAGCTCAACATGCAAACATCTCGTCTACCTAGAAGGTTGATGGACTATATAACATATGGCTTTTTTGAAAGCAATAAAAACAAGGCAAATCAAAAAGTGCATTCAACACAAAAAAAAAAAAAAAAAAAGAATTCAATTCCAGTCTGTGATCAAAGGTAATGTCCATGTCAAGGAGAGGTCCCTCCTGTCTCCTCTGTTTGCTGGCTCAATGTCTGCGCCGCTCAGGTAAGAGCTGACCTGATGTGGAGCTATTGCCATTTGGGTTCAAAGGTCAAAGCTGACCCCTTCAAGGACTCAGAGCAGGTGCCCGTGCTTAACGCAAAGATGCATTTCCTTTAAATAAATACGGCAGGGTTTATCCAGCAGAAAGAAGTTTCAGCCCGTAGACGCACCCCACAGGTTGCGTAAGCCATCAACAGACAGGACTGTGTTGCCTTTCCTGCCTATTTCCGTTCCCACAAAGCTGTGCGCCGTCAGCCCTAGTCGGCAGCAGTCATTATCTGGGCCCGTAGTCATAGTTAGAGGGGCCACTGGTGGCTGAGTACATGTTAGCTGTGGCTGGGTTCATGTGGTGGTGGTACGTGTGTCCTCTGATGCTGGGTAAAGGATAGGGCGACGGCCTGGTCTTGGCTCCCAGGTAGTGTTCATAGGTGGTGGGGTACTTGTAAGGGTGGTGGTGCAGGGTGTCCGGGGGCAGAGGATGGGGGTCTGACCGAAGGTCATGGGGAGGGCTGGGTCGTCCACCAGTGAGCGGGACGGCGTGGAGGCCTCCTGGGACGGGCAAGGCGGGGCTGAGGACCCGGGACATCAGTTGGTGAGCCGGGTCGGCA